CAAAGCAACAAAAGAAAACAAAGCAACAACAACAAAAAGCCAATGACAAACAAAAACCAACAACAAAAGGAAAAGCCTATAGTTAGTTCAAGGACCTTTAAGAGTGTTTTCCGGTTGAGTCTGAGGGGGTGTCATGCCCTGGCCCCAAAGTCTATTTTTGGCATTCCCTGGGGACTTTGTTGCTCTATTCCCCTTGCTTATTTTTCATTTTTGCTGGAGCATCTGGATAGAAAAGGGAGAGATCAGAATAAGGAATCAGTTGGCGTTCGGGTGGGGATTGAGAATTAAAACAGTGCACTTGTAAAATCTCTTTGAAACAACAGTGTGTGATCTCGCTGGTCAATACCTAGTTTTTAAAATAGAATGTCTACCTCCTTTGAGCTTTTTGTCACTTCTTCCAGGAGGAGAACAAAACAAAAACCAGTCATCCAAGAGTGATGTAATCATATAAAATATGAGTGCATAATGTGGTGACTATTATCTCTTAATCAATGTATCAAGTTCCCCAATCAAGGGGTTATTATTTTTTCTTCCTAAGGCATTTGGACAATAGTTCAAAAACAAAAGAACACTCACTACCATCAAGTTGATGCTGATTCATAGCGACCCTATAGGGGAGGGTAAGACTGCCCATGTGGATTTCTGACACTGTCAATCTTTACGGGAGTGGAAAGCCTCATGTTCCTCCCATGGAGCAGCTGCTGGTTTCAAACTGCTGACTTTAGAGTTAGCAGCCTAACACATAACCGCGACATCACCAGGACTCCCTGGTCTATAAGTTAAATATCAAACTCATTGCCGCCAAGTGTATTCTGACTCACAGTGACGCATAGTGAGGGCAACGATGGAAGAAAAGTGATGGTGTTGGATTCAGATCATCTTGGCTCCGAGACTTACCTGAGCTCCTGAGTACAAAGTGGTTTTTTTCAGACTTCCCTTAGTAGAAATAAAATCTCTTTAAAAAAAAAAAGATGACAATGGCTAAACGCAACCCAGCGAGAGTGCCTACTATGTGTTACGTATTTTGTAATGGAGCAAAAATAGATTCCTGCAGCTAAGGAAAACACATGAATCCAGTAATCACAAATGAATAATAGAAAATTATTTCAGACGTTTCTAAGAAATAAACACCTAAGTACAATGTGATCTCTCCCGATGTTTTTTAATCAGTGAAGTTTTAATTACAGCCATATTTCTGCTCTTTAGATTTTATATATTTATTTTGTTGTTGGGAATGTGCATAGCAAAACACACCAATTCAACTGTGTCTACATGTACAATGCAGGGACATTGTTGACATTCTTGGAGATGTAGAACCAGCCGTTCTCACCCTCCTATGTTGAGCTGTTCCCCCTCCATTAACATAGAATCACTGCCCCCTAAGGCACTTATCTAGTATTGTTCCAAGGGTTCATTCACTCTTCATGGCAGTAGAATGTCTAGAGTCCATGAGAATTTAAAATTCTATTCTGTATGTCTTTTCTTTTGATCAGGATTCTTCTATAGAATCTTTAATTAAAATGGTCAATAATGGCAGCCAGGTACCATCCAGTTCTTCGGGTTTCATGTCAAAGGAGGCAGGTGTTCCTGGAGGCAATTAACTACACGTTCCATGTCCTGTTCGTCACTACTCTTCTGTGCCAGGTGAAGAGGGGCCACTCTGTGAGCCTTGGATGAGCATTTGAAAGCTTTTAAGACCTCAGGCCCCACACAAGGAAGTAAGAGACAGAACAGAAGCATTACACTCATTCAAGGCAATTTATTGGGATGTTCCACAAAACCATGAACCTAAACCTCCAAACCAAGGATTTATTAATAATTTTTAATACTGTGCACATATGAATTATACCACTATCACTATCAGTAACAGTGCTTTCAATGTCTTTTAGAGTTGCATTTACCAAGTTTTAGGTCATTAATGCATCAATATGTGTGTCAGTCATTTCCTTGAGCTCTGAAAACTGCATACACAAGTAATCAGCATTCAGTAGCATACTTTGTTGTCTACAAAGTCATTACCAAAGACATAGTCCAAGGCAATGATGTATCATGATTTTGACATAATTTCACTTCTTTACAGGTATGGCAGGCTACTATGTTGGCCTCATGAACTCATTTCGATATCATTTTTGTCTTATTTTTGTGGTGTATGTGAAGATAATGCACAGCTTCTGCCTAGATGGCCTGTTGTACTTTGGCATAAACTGCTTTGAAGGAACACCAAACCCAGTTTTCCGTCTTCACCAGTGCAAGCACTGTACCTGATTTAGGGTGACCCAGCACTCCCTGTGGTGAACCAGCCCTCACAATCAAATGGGCCCAAGGGGCGGTTGTATAATTGAGGGGTAAAATTAAAGAGACATCAGACAAGATAAAGCATGCAGGCACTCACCTCCCAGACGGCCATGATCTCAGCAGCCAGGTCCGAGCAAAGAGAGGGAATATATTTCCAATCACGGCTTATATACATTTTCGGGGATGTGCGAGGCCCCCCTGATTGCATCATAACCGGAAAGGGGTTGTACCATAGGCATGCATGCAATAGTAGGGGGACGAGCTAGGGGTGTACATGCAATAAGAAGGGGAGGCACTAGGGGTGCACATGTGACAAGATGGGCGCACCCTAGATTCAAGATGGCAGCCTAAACATGATCCTGCTTGAGTTGGCTTGACCTTGTCTTTGCACTCTCCTTCAGGGGAGCAATCCACTATCCTTATCAGCAGGGAGTGGGCCCCACCTAGGGTGAGACAGACAATAGGGTCTGACTGCTCTAGATGACTAATAACCCTCAGGGAGATAACCTAAGCAGTTGACCTCCAAGTGTACAGTCATTTACCATGTGTGGCAAGCAGGGTCTTAGGTTTGGCATATAATATGGGGAGGGGGGTTGGGGGAGAGAGAACCTGTGGGAAAATCTTTCTGTATCCCACAACTCCCTTCTTAGGAACAAGTAGACTGTACATGGCTAAGGACAAGAATATTCTCCAAGCCCCTTTGGTACTGGGCTAGTTATGTGCAATCATTCTCATGTGTTAGCCTGTTGTTGCTCACTGTGTTGGTCTATTTCATTGAGGGTTCCCCCTTTTCACTAACCCAGTTAGAACAGACTCAATAGTAATGCCTGATTTTGTGTTTTCCCCTCCTTCACCAAGCATGATGTGCTTCTCCAGGGACTGGTCTCTTCTGAGAACATAGCCAAAGTATGTGAGATGAAGTCTAACCCTCCTGTCTTCTTAGGGGTAATCTGGCTGAACTTCTTCCCAGACAGACTTGTATGCTCTTTTGGCAGTCCCAGATACTTTCAATATTGCTCCTTAGTACTATAGTTTAAATACTTAAATTTTTCTTGTTTTCCTTATTCGATGTCCAACTTTCACATGTATATGAAGTTGTTTCAACTTGCCTCAAACACATCTTCCAGAGATTTGCTATCTGAAAAAGCCATTTTCCACGTGGCACATTTAGTCACCACAGCGTCTTCCTCTGAGGCCCTTAATTATTTTGTTATTTGTGTTTTTAAAAAATAGGCGTTCATGATGAATTACTATTTCATATAGTTTTACATCTCATCTGTAAAGGTACCAGGCCAAGACAAAAATTAATACCTTGGAGCATATCCAAAATCTTTAATTTTCCCAAAACAATTTTTACAATTTGGTTGTAACTTTTCACAGGCAATTTGAAGCAAAATTTGACCAGAGATTTTTGAATGTCGATTTTAACAAATTCGATTTTACTTATCACAGTGCAGAGTAAAAAGTAAAATACCTCCTGAGGCGGGAGTGGGGGGGCGGTGATGAAAGTGAAGTTCAAACCTGCTAAAGAGTGATAAACTGCATTTCGGATATGCTAATGGTCCTAGCATTTGTAACCAAAAGACTGTGAGGCCCCGAAATGGATACTTTATATGCATGTCACTTAAGTGTGCCCCAGATAAACTAGGGCGAAGCATTAAAAAAACTGAATGTGTGATTCTGAAAGGAAGATTAGAAACTACTTAGAATCACAACTATTAAGAAAGGCACAGGTGCTGGGATTAACAGTCAGGAAAGTTTTCTTTACAAAAGAAATATCAGAAGACTTTGGGGGTAAAAGTGGCAAGAATTCAGACCTTTGAAAAAGGCCAGAGACATTGATGAAGACCTGTACACCTGGGGAGGTATTTAAGATGTGTTTATGGCTGGAAGAGAATCCAGAGAAGCTATTTTATTGGACTTTATCAGCAAGAAAACCAATTTTACTCAGAACTAAGGAATGCAATTAAGATAGGCAAGAAGGAGTGGTGTGTGAGCATGTGGTGGAGAGGAGTGGTGTGTTTCTTCAGTGACCAAAGAATCAGAACTTAGTACTGTGCTAGATTCTGAATACACATTAGGATGAGCTAATATGGGAAGGTAGCATAAGGGAGCTAGAATAGTTCCTCAAAGGATGATGCCCAAGAGAGAAGCCACTTTTTTTATGGAAAAATCAATGTCGTGTGGAAGGCTTGACTTTAGTTGACAGTGAATTCATTGTGATCCCACATTATAAGGTTGCCAATAAAAGAAGGATCCATTCACAATGCTATACTCTATTTAGCAACCTCTTCCCAGGTCCCAGTGAGGGATTTTTCTCTGTGGTTATTTTCTTAAATTATTACGTGTCCACACACACACACCAGAGAGAGAGAGAGAGGTTGGCTCCTTCTAAAAATGAGGACGGCTTGAAATAAGAAGTTGGGTATTATGAAGATGGAAAGTTATTGCCTTCCTCTTTCACAAGCTAGCCTGGGGAGCCTGGATCTAGGTCCACATAATTGTGTACTGGTTGTCAAAATGGATAGTCGGAAGAAAGAGGAACCCTTCACATAGGGAGTTCACTTTTTCCTTGGTCATTAAAAACACACAAACTAAATACTACTTCAAATGTTCCAGGTGGGCTTTCGAATTACGTTTAGTAACACCTGTTTAAAGAGAGATAGAAACTATTCTGAAGTCATTTTCTACTTGCTTAATTTCCCACTCCCTTCTGTTTAACTTTCTCTTTAAAGCTATAGGTGTCAGCAATCAGAGGGAAACCACTGTTGTCTGGGACAAGTTAACAGGAGAGCCCCTCTACAATGCTGTGGGTAAGCTGTCCTGCATGTTTGTCAAATGCAGCTCCTTTCTCTACTTGCCAATGTGGTTCTACTAAAATACCCTCTTAAAGAAAAAACCCCGCCTTCATCTCCCTACAATCAGATGGGATGGGCAGAAGAGTCTTCTACAGAATGGGTTGTGTTTTTTATCTGTCTTTAAATTATTTGTTCCCATTGAATTCACTCTCCTGCTCTCACCGTTTCCTGATTATTTGCATTATGCCAATGATGGAATATTGCTGGCATTGTTGTCTAATCCTCGCTGTGCCTGACATTCAGCACAGAGCTCACCTTCTCCTATCTTCCTGAAAATAAAATCAGAAATGTTCACAGTCCTCTACAAAGTCCTCGCTCTTCCTGTTGAGGAATTTGAAATTTGAAAAGGAAATCTGAAATTTTTGCTCTCTCTATGAGGAATTTGCTTATCTCAGCAGGGGTTCAAAAATGCAAAATCTTGAATATGCCGCTTTCACCAATCACATCTTTTTAAAATGTGGAGCACTGAACGACAAGGACACTTGCTAAAGGAAAACTTGGGTTCTAAATCTACAATCACTAAATGTTTCATTCTGTCAGAAGTAGCCAAGCATGTACATAGGTTTTTATCAATAAGATACCTAGGGGTAGGGTGGGGAATGAAGCTGGAATTGTTAGATCTGGGACGGTTTATAGAGTTGTTACCAGGAGACAAAGGGATCCAGGTTTGCCTGTCACTGTTTCAGCCAAAGACAGAGGCCAGATTGATTCTGTTCTGAAGCATGAGACAGAAGGAAACAGTGCTTCAAAACTCCAGTGAAAATCAGACAAGTTATATATCTTCAAACTATGTGATAGAAGCCGGTTTTTTCAATTATCACAAGAAGAGGTTAGCAGGTTTTTACAAAGATCCCAGGAAACAATTGAGATACTCTTAGAAAAAAAAATTTTTTAAAAAGAGATAATCTTAGAAGGCAAATTTTCAATGATCATTAGGAAATTATCTATACCTGTTTCTCCATGGGCCATTAGGCCACCATCCCCTGTAACTTCATACACCTGTGTTGATATACTATAAATAGGGAGATGCTTCCATTTATAGCCTTACCAGACCATCATCCTGGATGCCTCTGAGTGGGGGGGGGCGGTTGGTCCTGGCTACTTAGCTTTTTTCAAACTTTAATGACCTTGTTAGCCTCCTTCCTGAATTGGAACATCCCTACTGATTGAGCTTTAAAGGAAATTTTACTGCAAGGAAGGGGGCGCTTATATTTTGGATTTTTTAAAAACATTTTGGATTTTTAACAAACTAAATCTTAAATTATGATATATTTCTAATATTCTGATTAGCAGCAGACTCACCCCTCTGAGAGTGTGAACTGTTTTTATTTTACCACTGATTAAAGTCATATTAAAGCAGAAAATACACTAACGAGAGGTAAAAAGAGCATGAAATTTTTGGAGCAAACCTTGTTAAGAAGATTAAATTATTTTCATGTTGCCTTTAAAAGCCACATGTCAGCTGTATTTTCTGTTGAGAAAGTTGAATGTTCAAAGCCAAAACCAAATATCCTATTCTCTATATAAGTTAGACAGACTAGACTATTGCAATTCAATGGCTAGTATTTGGGAGGGTATTCTTTAACAGATCAATGTTAGCTAACTTCTTGAACTTGTTAGGACTTTATTTACTTACTTTTTTCTAGTGAAAGGGCAGGTCTCTTCAAGGAACCCAGGAAGTTCCTGTTGAACTCCAAACTTTGAATTGTGAAAATGCAACTTTGGACTTTGAATTGCCATTTTAAAATAATGCAACCAGGTTAGTAAGTTGAAGTTATGCTTAAAGTGAAGGATTAAAGTAAATATTTTACAAGAAAAACTTCCTTTCTGGGATGAGCTTATTTTCTCATTCCCTTGCCTTTCACCTGGGTCCCTCTGTACTTCTGTCCCATAATATGTGCTTTGGGTATTCATGCAAACTATACCTATGGGATTTGAAGAATGCCCCCCCCCCTATACTGCACTCTGTACATCTGTTTAAGACTTTTTTATGTCTTTGGGGCTATGTTGGGTGTTCTGGAACATACAGATTATATCAACTGATTTTATACATGCTTTATAATCTAGTTTTGGAAAGAGAATAAATACAAAATTAAGGACTAGTTGATAAATCTTGACCCTGGGAAAGTTTTACTAGTATTATTTTACAAATTAATTATGAAAAGGTCATATGGCTTATCCAATGCCATGTAGGTTACTTAGTGGAAGTAAAACCACAAATTGAACTTAAATCTGCCCACCCCTTGTGCTCTAATTTGGGTATATAGAGATTGGTGACACTGTAACCCACTGCTATGGAGTTGATTCTTACTCATAGTGGCCCTAGGTAGGGCTTCCAAGTCTGTAAATCTTTCCCAGAGCAGATAGCCTCATCTTACTCCTATGGAGTGACTGGTGGGTATGAACTGCTGCCCTTGCAGGTAGCAGTCCAATGCCTAACCTGTTATGCCACCAGGGCGCTTAATGTAGTCAAAAGGTGGAAGCTAGCTAGATGTTCACCAAAATACAGATGAATGAAAAGGTTAATTTAAATTAATTTTTACTCTTAAAGCTATCGTGTTGAAAATACATTAAACATTAAAATATATGCCAACAGCAGTACATGAAAAGAATGTAGTACATGAGAGGAACTTGGTACAAATGAGGTTAAAGTGTTTTGAGACCCTTGTATTGTCGAGGATACACGCGGAATCCTCTAAGTTAACTAGTAATAGAAAAGTAATATATAAATAAAAAGCTTCTAAAGGTACAAAAATGGATGATAATTTAAAGAGGCAAGAGAAGAAAGTTTTTAAAACCAAGGTAAGAGGGAAGGACAAATAGACAGTATTTACATCTAAATAAGTAAGTAATTGCATTTTAAAAGGGCAACCTTTGTCTCTCCCTGCAGTGAAATCTAGAGGAAGGGGTCAATTGAGGCTGCTCCTGAGTTGATGGAATCAATCAGTGAGAATGAAGAGAAGGCAAAAGGACAAGACTTGTCAGAGGAAGCACACAACCTGTATGTTTTCAAATTGGATAGATAGAGCATAAGCAAGGGGCAACAATAAAACAGGATTGGGGGATTGTCAGCCTGCCAGGGGAAAAGGGAGAAATTAAAGTAATATTGAAAAGGTGCCAAGCTGGGAGGAAAATGGCTCGCTTTCTTGCGTGAAGCGAGAATAGAACTTGCAATCAAAGCTGATTTCTGGACAAAGGAAAACCATGGCTCTATTATGAAGAATGGTTTGAAATGTAGAGTAAAAGTCAATAACAGAGGTGATATTCACAGCTTCTTATAGGTGAATGCAGCACAGGAATCAGTGTCTCTCTGTGTGCCAGGTTTTGTGATGATTCCTAGGCATGTCATGGTGAACCAGATAGGCACAGCACTTGCTGTTAGGACATAGAAGGTTAAGAATGGGTATTTGGAAGCCAGAAAGAGAAAAGAAAGAGAGAGGGAGTAGTTAGCTAAGGAAGAGAAGCCACTAAGTAATGACAAGAATAGATTCTGCCTCCAGTTATGCGCTAAGGTGTTGTGGTTCCAGATACGGGTTGGGTTTTTTGTTTTTTGTTTGAAGAGGGGTTTGAGAGTACCTTTCAACATAATACTAAATCTTTAGCAACTTTATCCTAAAATAACATAATGTTGGATTGAAGGAAGCAGAATCAGATACTCACATTTACTTGTCTTTGAGCTTCTTTTTCTTGTTTATATTAGTCTGTGGGCTTTACACTCTCTTTTTCTCCCTTATCTCTTTCTCTCATAAATCTATTACTGTAGACCTATCTTGAACTTTTGGCATTTTTCTCTCTAACGTGCTAAAGTAGGTAACTGATAAACAAGGAGATGGACAGAACGGTGACTCTTTCTCACTCTCTCTTTTTAAATGACCTTGGTTTTGTGGCTCCAGAGTTAAGTTCACTCACTCACAGCAGTTTGCAGCCAAGAGAGGAGATTTTCAGTGCATTATTTGTAGACCTGGCTTATTGAAGAAGGCAACGATCAAGAAGCCCTAAGGGGTAAGCTCTACCTTGTCCCACAGGGTCTTAGGAGTTGGAATCCACTTGAAGGTAGTGAGTTGGGTTTTTTTTGTTTGTTTGTTTGTTTTTTTAATTTACTGACATCTTTTGTAGCAGATGCAATTATGAGTGTAGTAAAACTTTTAAATTAGTCCATTGGAGCACACATGTCCTGTTAGAAAGTATATATGTGTGTGTGTGTGAATTCAGTAATCAGTGAGATAAATATTGGCATGGTGTCTAAAATGGAGACACAGCCCCATGCATCACTGCTTCTCGGCCACTGTGCCACGTGGCAGGTGTTTACTATGACAGCCTCACTGGTGGATTGGCAACAGCATGGTGGCCTTTGACCAGAAGCAGGCTTTTGGCTTCTTTTGTCTCTTGAGATCTCTTCCTTACTCTCCTACCCACTGCCCCACTTTGAGCATTATCTTAACCAATGCTCTTTTCTGAAGGCCCTCTCCCTTTTTCCCAGCCCTTTCTTTCCCAAACCAACTTCTGTTAGTGATGCAAATATCTTTCTGTATTCTAAACATTGTTGACAGAAGTTTGAGTTTACACAAACCCACACACTACAACGATTAAAAAGCATGAATGGCTCAAATATGGAACAAGGGAATGGATGTTTGAACCATGGATATTTAATATGTGTATACACACCTTTCACTGAGGCAATCTAACTAAGATGGCCCTTCGAGGCCAGGTTTAACACTTGCCACTACAAACGACAGGTGTGTAGGATAAACCCCACCCTAGCAATTTTTTGTAGAAGACAAATCATGGTTTAATGTGAACATATTTGTAGTAAGGACTAATAGCTAAGGCGGAAAAAGTAACTGAATGAAGAGCTTTAGAATATTAAAGAAAGGTACCCACTATATCATTCATCATTCGTCTCTGAAAACTTTTTTCCTTACTCAGATGGCAGTGCAATATTTATTCAATGAGGTTTGATTTTTTAAAAGACAGGGCTTCCTACTGTAGGAAAGAATCACAGTCTCAGAAACCCACAGGGACAGTTCTATCCTCTCCTATAGGATTACTATGAGTTGGCACCGACTTGATGGTAGTGAATGAGAAGGAGCCCTGGTGATGTCGTGGATTACAGGTTGGGCTGCTAGCCACAAGGTCAGAAGTTTGAATCTACCAGTTGCTCCATGGGAGAAAGATGAAATGGACAGCTCGGGTATCGATTTACAGCTGCAGAAACCCACAGGGGCAATCCTACTCGGTCCTATACGATTGCCGTAAGTTCGAATGGACTCAAGGGCAGTAGGTTTGTGTTTGGGGATGGCACATAACCCTCTCTATTTTTTGGTGAGCTCAACGGACATTTGAAAAATTATTTTGTTATTGTTGAGACTATAGATAGTTAAACCTACACTGATTCAACCGTTTCTACATGTACGATTCAGTGACAGTGAGTCTGTTGGCTGGGAGGCCTTGTGATATAGTGGATTAGACGTCAAGCTGGTAGCTGGTAACTGCAAGGTCAACAGTTCAAAACCACCAGTTCAAAACCAACAGGAAAAAAGGAGGTTTTCTATTCCCGTAAAGAGTTACAGGAAAAAAAAAAAAAAGACAGCCTCGGAAACCCACAAGAGCAGTTCTACTTGTCCTATAGTCGCTGTGAGTCAGAATTAACTTGATGGCACGGAGTAAGGTCATGTTTGAGTTGCGCTGTCATTCTCACTCTCCTTTGCAGAGTTGTCCCCTGCCCCATTCCCACTCCCGTAGAGTAAATCCAGTGCCCCTTAAGGCTCCTATCCAATCTTTCAAGTTGATGTTGTCACTTTGACTCCATATCCACCCCTTGCCATCAAGTTTATTCTGGTTCGAACTGCTGACCCTGCCGTTAGTAACCCAATGAGTAACCACTACACCATCAAGACTCCTTTGACCATATGTTGATCTCATCTTAAAAGAGCATAGTGCTCAAAAAAGACATTTTTTACTAGTTAAGCTAAACTGTTTGGTTTTTAAGATGCCAAAGGGGCATACTTTCTAGTCTGTTTTAAAGGTAATAATTTCAGGGGTTTATCCAGCCTCCATAGCTTCAGCAAATCTTGTGTTCATGAGAACTTGAAATTCTGCATTCTCTCCCTTTTGATCAGGGTTCTTGAGTAGAATCTTTGATCAAAATGCTTGGTAATGGTAACCACATACCATCCAGTTCCGATCTCAGGCAAAGGATACAGTTGTTCCTGGAGACAATTAGCTACATGCTTCCTAGCCTCCTCCTAATTTGACCTTTGTTGACCTTTGTTGTCCTTAGAGACCAATTGTCATTTCCTGTGTGACAAGCTTTCTACAAAGTTGCAATTTTAAAGTGTCATCCTCTTTTATTTTATTTTTTATACACACCGGTTAACAACCGTAAGCCAGTGATTAAACCCATGTAATTATTTGCTGAGATGTGAAGGGTCTTTCAGCCCAATTCATTTTTGTGTTTTAAGAACTCTGCTGTTTCAAAGTATCAGCATTAAAGAAAACCAGAGACAGGAAATCACTTAAAATTCCTAAGTCCACTGGGCCTTAAACAATGAAAGTATGGATTTTACTTTGTTATTTTGTTTTGCTCTGGGAGGGAGCAGAATTTTTTCCCAAATTTGTAAGGTTTAGAATATTGACCTTTATCAAAATCCACTTGTTTTCCAGTAATTCTAGCCTTAATTCTAGCCTTTTATTACATGGAACTTTTGCAAGAGGCACATCTCCTTCCATCTTGGGTTTAAAAATATACTGCTAGATTTTGCAATGACTTAGTTCTCGAATTCTGGCCAGTTTAATTTAAATACAGAGAAATTATATTAGATTTAAACTTTAAGGACTCTAATCCTTAGTAGTTTTTATCCCATTTAAGACTTATCCGGGCTCTACCTATATGTCAGAGAGGTTCAATTCTGGATTCAAACCTTGGGTTCAAATTCTGACTTTCCCACTTACTACCATTCTGTCTCTAGTCCCTTGGGATTTCATTGGGAGAAATTAAAAGTATGCACCTGGTAGGCGCAAGTTGAAGATTAGGAAGTTAATATATGTAGAGTACACAACACAGTGCCTGGTCAATGGTAAGGCCTTAGTAAGTGTTGGACATGACCACCACCGACAGTCCCGAATTAACCTTTCTAACCCAGGAATGCAAGATGATAGGAATTCTACCTGGAGTCACACACATTCCTGGCAACCACTGATTGGCATTTTGACATTTGCATGCATTTTAGCATCTATGAGAGGAAACCAGTTATCACCTCACTCTCTGTTTTTCTTTGGCCTCCACCTGAGTGCAGACAGTGCATCAGGTGATGGCAGTCATTGATATTTTCTCTCTTCTCTTGCAAACGACCTCTATTGACCTGGCTTAATGAATAGCTTACCTTTGGGCAAGTGGTATCACGTAGCAATTAAAACGTTTTGCTGATATTAGGACTCTTGTAGGCAATTCAACCTGATAACATTGTGTGGAACTGTCAGCAGTTCTTGCTTAGGTACGCTCTATGACCTGGAGCCTCACCGGCTCCCTGCCTGTCCAAGTCAGACGCTCCTTTCCTCACACTATCTCAGAAGAGATGTCTTATTTGCCCTTGTTTCTAAGTTAACTAGAAAGAGTTTAGATTTTCCCTGGTGGTTCTGTGTGTGTGTGTTGATTTTCTGAGGTACCTTTTCCTTCTATTGGTAGTATTAATAAAAGTTATGCAAATGTGTGATGCTTTATGATTCTAGATATTTTCCAAGTAATTTCCTCCTCAGCACTGTTACTGTGTTCCCAAATATAGTAACCCTACATTTCTCTTGGCTCTTACAACTTTTTTCCCCAGGTATATATCCTAATCTACCAGACATATATATTGAATGTGACTTTGTTTGATATCATGGGAGATTTCAGATCATATACAGATTGTGGATTTTTCTTTTACGCTATTCATTTGATGACCTGGACCATTTAAATCTGATTTATTTGGTCCAGCAAAAAGCCATCATCTAGAAGTAGATTAGAAGTGAAGTCACTTTAGAATGTAGCGATTCCTGTTCCCTCTAGTCACCCTTTTCTTCCTGTAGAGGTTGCCTGGACCCCCTGCCACTCCTCCAGTGAAATGTTTTCTTGGCACTGTGGTCACTTTGAATCTTAATGGACACCATGGCAGTGAGCTTCGTTATTGCTTTTAGAGAGTTTTCTCAAAGCAGCCTTTAGGTATCTCCACACAAATGACCAAGACAGAGATGGTGACTTAGTCGTTAGCATTCCTTCGTAACAAAGCTATTCCCTAAGGATGAGCTCCCAGAGAAAGTCACCTATCATTTCAATACATGAGTAAGGTGAGCGCTAGGTAACCAACAGAGCCACTTTTCTAACTCGGACACGTATCTGTTGCCAGGTAGGGAAGAATCACTCTGAACCAAGTCTTCATCCAAATTGCAATACTGCTGCAGGAGGGACTCAGTCTGTACGTCCTTTGTTCCCTTTCTATTCCGTCTCTTCCTTTTCTTTTATGACACTCAAATGTATGAAACAGTGTTAGTTCATCCCATTCTAATGACCATCCATTTCCTGAGTGGTGAACAAGAGAACCTTGCGAACCTTGAATCTGGCCATCTCTAGCATGAAATGCCATTATTTCTTCTAATGCTCCAGCTGCTCCAGTTTCTCCTGACCCTTCAGCTCCAGTTGCCGTTGTTCCTTCTGGCTCTTCGGTTCCAGCTGCTGGTGCTTCCTCAGGTATTGCTGCTCTAGCTGCTGCTCGCTCCTCAGCCTTCCACTCAGACTTGTCGGGGGATTGCTGATGCTGGTTCTGGAGCTCCCGCTTCTCTTGATTGTCCTCAGAAATTACCTACACAAGCGGCTTAGGCTTCCCACTTGGGGTCTTCTCTTTGGCTTTTCAACCCTTGTGCAAATTTAATTCTGTCATCTGAGCTCCTTTAATTAGTTTTCTAACTTTTTTCATCGTTTTTAATTCAGTTAATCTGGAGCATTTGTGAACTGCTTGGTATTGTACCATCCACTGACACTTTCTTCTTGGGCAGTTTTACTAATTTATTCCATTTTTCTAATTGCCTTCAAGTCTTTAACTGTATAACCAAAGCAAATATTGTGACATCTTTCCATGATCCTAGACTAATGGAAGGACACGACCTTTAGAGACCATCAAGTCCAACCTCCTTATTTTGTCTTTAGGACCAATAGGCCAAAGAGGCTAGAATGACTTCCTTAAGCCACATACCCTGTGGATGACAAAACCTGACGTAGAACTTGGGTCTCCGAACTTCACATCCAGTGTTGCCAGTCTTCTGGCGACAGATTGTTTCTGTAGCTCATGCTCAGCCCTCACTGCAAGCTTTCAAGCGAAGAGTGCAAGAGCTCTGTGACTTAAGGCTCCTTATGAAGGAGCTGTCCTGTCCCGGAGCCACAGGGACTTGGAACCACCTGATAGGTTTTGTTTTTGTTTTTAAACAAACGACTGGAACAAAGCCGGGTACTCGAAAGAACATGCTTAGAAGAGAGGTTTTCAATTTTCAGTATACCTCCGAATACTTTGGGAAACATTTAGAAATATCGAGATCCAGGCCCTGCCTCGACCCACAGGCAGAATCCTGTAAGGTTCAGATATGCTTTCTGGGGGCATTTATTTAAGGGAGAGATTTCTGTGGAGATGGTCCAAGTTTTAAGTTTCTAAATGATTGTTAGAGGAGACTGTCCAAAAGATCAGAGGTTTGAGCCCACCAGAACCTCTGCTAGAGAAAAGGCCTGGCCATCGACTTCCGTAAAGAGAAGTGACGGGAATCCAATGGAACAGTTCTCCTCTGTCTTAGAGGGTCACTGTGTGTCAGAATGAACTCCGTAGCACACACTCATCTTACTTGTTACCTACATTCAAACATGGAAAAAACACTGATCGAACAGGCTTATGTCATTGAACAAAAGGCCTAGAACAGTGGCTTTCAAATGTATTTGTTCATGACCTTTGGTAAGAAAGTATACTTCACACGCCCACATCACTAAAACAATATTTTGTAAATCAGTACTTAACCAAATGCAGTGAATGCTGATATTTTGAATTGGAACCATCCCCCTCTTTTTCATTTTTAAAGCAGGTGATTGAAATTTACTAAATTGAGTTCAAACCCACTGTAGTTGGAAACTCAGTTGCTCTGAGTCAGGTCAGAATTGACTGGCTAACAGAATGTTTGGTTTCGAACTGGTAGTCGGAAACACTGAGGATTGAGATACCCTTGTTGATTCTATCTACTGAAGATACCAGACTCTTTTCTCTTAATTTCTCTACTTTTTCTAATTACTTCTGTTAAACCATTAACATCTGCTGCAGTTGCTTGCCTGTCAAGAAAATCCACTTTTTCATAGCCATACAATACTGCCACTGTGTAAAAAGTGACCGGTCCTTGTTCCCTGGACCTGGGAGATCTTACCGACTCCATGATGATGCTGGCAATGTCTTGTATCAATCAAAATAGCCCAAACTAAATTAATAAAATAAAGGAGGGGAAGTCCTTTGCCCATGGAGCTAGTGAATTATCCAAGGATAATTCAGTTCAGTTCGGGTACTGTTTGATTCCAGACCAGACAGTATCACCGGGATCCCCCTGTATCGCTCCAGAGGAGCTAGCCAGATTCAGTCCTCCCCTTCTACGAAGAAGGTCTCATATCCTGAACGCAAATCTCCATTGGTCTGGTGCTTCCTTCTGAACCAACCACTGGACAGAAACCCATCCTGGAGCTGAGTGGTAGGGCCAACTCCCAGGCAAACCACATGAATGAAAATGAGCGAGGGATGTTTTCTTAAAGTGAATTTGAGATTGCTTCCAGAAGCACAGGATGGGCAGCAAACGTAAATGTCTTCTGCGGGACCATTTTTATGTGTTTTTCTCCCTCCCCCCCCCCTTATTTCCTTGCTTGTGATAAGTCTCTAATTGCTGCTTTTCACATCTCTGGAAACCAGTGGAGTGGCTTGAATTTCCCAATATAAAGCTCAGGGAAACTAGCTATTGTCATCAAAATCATGCACTGCCAACCCTCAACAAGAATGAGAATTTATTAAAATTCACTGAAGGAAGTAACTGGTTTTTAAACGAAGATACAATGAAGACATATTGTAGTTAAAATAAACATTAACTGCCAGTTTTCAAATATGTAGTAGGCAAGCTTGTGTAATCTTCCCTATAGCTCTTTAAATAGATTCAGGGCCTGAGTCTTTTCAGGAGCAATCTGAGCACAGTCCATGTCCTAAAAATATCAACTGGCCCCGAGCAGATAAAAAGTGAACAAAAGTTAAATACCAAACATGGATCTAAAAACCAATGATCCCGCCATCCCAATCAGTTACCTTGCACAATGGCTCTATGTATTTTTGAATACCCTTTCTTTCTCAAGGCTTCTATCACAGAGCAAAAGGGAAATACTTCCTACTGGGGGATCAGAATGGGCACAATAGTTACTTAGTAAAGATAATGTTCATCTGTTAAAGTGGTGTTTGGTTTGGTTTGTCTTTACCATCCAGTATAAAGAAGGCATGGTGATTTTCAAATAAGGCTTTTGGCAATCTAGGGTCCTAGCATGTTTGAAAGATTTCAATGTAAATAATCATGTCATTTACAAAAAGCTGAATCTTATTTTTTCCCTCAAATGATATCAGATTCACTACATTGTCTCTGTCACAACATGCTCCCAGGTTTTCTAAGACAGACTCATCCATACATGGTCCTTGATCCTAGGCTATATATTCTGTATTGGTCCATGTTCTAGATTTTCTCCAGATTCATATATGCTTACAAAAATTACTATGGAATGTATTAAGGTTTTTTCCTATAAGAAAGATATAAATAAGTTTCCTACGGTATGTATTGTTTTTTGTTGGTCTGTGATTTTGCATAAAAGCCTTTGATTCTTCCTCATAAATTGATTCCTAACAAGATACTCATTCACTTCTAATCCTCTAATTTCTGTCTTTTGACAGCTATAGCATTGTAGTTGCTTATGGAAACTAATCAGTCTCCTATTCTTGATGGTGATTTCATTGAGCTCTGATAATATTATGATGTTCTTTCATATATATTATTTTATTTTGGTTTATAGTATGGCTTGATCTAAGAACCCAGTCTACGGTTGAGAATCTTAGTAAAAGAATTCCAGGAAATAATTTTGTCAAGGTAAGAAAGCTCTTCAAAAGCACATTATAAGACTAAAAAAATATGTAGATTTTCCTAGAATAGCCCTATGGGCCTTGCATCTTATTACACAATCTAGAAATCTATAATTTATAGATTATTTATCCACAGACAATGGAGACCCACACAACTGGAAACAAAAAGACCCCAAATTTGACAAGTTGGTAGGAACCAGAATGTGTCTTAGTGGTTTAAGCCGTATCCCCCAAGCAAGGCTTTTGATAATATGACTGTGCTGTCCACACCTATCCCTATGCGCTTCGCTGCCCAGCAAAGAACTTCTAGGTGCTTTTGACTTTTTTTTAAGCTTTTAATTTTTTATCTATTTAATTTTTAATCGTTTTATTAGGGACTCATACAACTCTTATCACAATCCATACATACATCAATTGTGTAAAGCACATTTGTACATTCATTGCCCTCATTATTTTCAAAACATTCGCTCTCCACCTAAGTCCCTGACATCAGGTTCTCATTTTTCCCCTCCCTCCCCGTACCCCCTCCCTCATGAACCCTTGATAATTTCTAACTTATTATTTTGTCATATCTTGCCCTGTCCAACATCTCCCTTCACCCACTTTTCTGTTGTCCATCCCCAAGGGAGGAGGTTATATGTAGATCCTTGTAATCGGTTCCCCCTTTCCACCCCACCCTCCCTCCACCCTCCCAGTATCGCCACTCTCACCACTGGTCCTGAAGGGATCATCTGCCCTGGATTCCCTGTGTTTCCTGTTCCTATGTGTTTTTACAGTTACCTGGCTTCAGGTAGACCAAAAATGGAAGACCTTCATTGAATTCTTCTTCCACTTTGTTCATATGAAGATGACTAATAAAACTATCCTAATACTCAGTTCTATATTCTTGTATTGTGTATTTTTCTTAACCTCTTACATAGATTTATTAATAAATTTCCTCTTTATTATACTAGCAAAATATGATTGTTAAGCCCGTTCATGTTTACATTTTACCCATTAACCTTTATTCAGATCACTTCTCCCCTCTTCACTGTAGTTACTGAATTTAAACAACTTTCTTACATTGGTGGCATAGTGGTTACAGTGTTAGGCCATAAGGTCAGTAGTTTGAAACCATCAGCTGCTTCACGGAAGATGAGATTTTCCTCTTCTGTAAAGAGTTAACATTTCAGAAACCCACAAGGGCAGTTCCGTAGAGTTCCTTTAGCATCCCTGCAAGTCAGAATGGATTCAGTGGCAGGGTGTTTCTTACATAGATCGCCTCTGCATTACTTTCTTCTGGCCTGTCTTTGAGTTCTCTAATCTCCACTCATTTGATATCATGTGTGGTATTTATAGTTACAATTATTTAACTATATATCTATACAAATATATACTCATAAAATCAAAAGGGTTCACAAAAGTGAACGTACAAATTCTCCCTATGTAGATTACAGGGCATATCATGTCATTTCATTTCCTCTCTGCCTTGCTACGTGGATGATCTTTGAACTGTAAACATATCACTCTGATCTTTGTTCATAAACATGCTTTCCTGTACTATGAGATAGGAAAAATATAGTGGGATTGCCTTTTTGGCCCTGGAATGTTTTGTGATTCCTTGACTTTTTAGCTGAGTGGCTTTATTTTAAGCTATGATAACTAACATGCAAAATATATTAAATATGCTAACTTAGTTAACAATTTCATAATTGTCATAGTCCAAGACAGGCCTTCCGCTTAGCACTTACTTCAGTGCAGTGAAACTCCGTTGGATCCTTGACAATGTGAGAAAAGTTCAAAAAGCTGTTGAAGAAAATCGAGCTCTTTTTGGGACCATCGATTCATGGCTTATTTGGGTATGTTTCAATATAACGTGTGTGTGTGTGTGTTTAACATTTTCTGGAAAAAATTTAGACTGGCTTGAGTGGTATTTGTTTTCTACTGAAAGTTTGAATTTTTTCGTTACCATGATTAAGAAAGTTATCCAAGAAACAGCAAGACATTCAAAATCGTCCACTTTGGAGGCATTTTTGCCTCCTTCCTTTTTATTTTTTCTTGTCTTGTTTCAGTAAAAATGGAAGATAATTACCCAAACCAAATCTCATGTCTATGATTCATTGAATAAGTAATTTAAGTAGCCTTTCTCTCTTGTCTACCATGCATTTCGTTCCTACTAGTCATTTAACATGATAAAACACCTAGACTATTACTTTGATCATTTATTCACTTTCAACATTGTGTGACCATCTCTTGTATAATCGAGTCATAATAAGAAAGTAAATCATAGTAGATATTTCTGTTATTGAGTATTTTTGCCCAAACTGATCCATGAATGAGTAGGCACTAACACTTCAGATGTTTTCCAGCTAGATCTTAAAAGCACATGTCCTGTGGTTATTTCTCTATTTTGTTGTTATTTTTTATAATGAACTTTATTTATTTATTTTTAATAGCTTTATTAGGGGCTCATACGAGTCTTATCACAACCCATACATTTAATGTATATATTTTCAGATATACCAGAAAGTAGCAGGAATGGTATAATGAACCTCTGCATTGGGGAGCCAATTAGAGCAAGAAACAGTATATGGCCAAGCCCATAGTTTTTCCTCCCACAGATCATGTTAAAGCAATTCCCAGACATATAATTTCATTTGTAAATCCGTCAGTAAGTACGTGATAATCTTTTACAACATTCAAGGGGTCTCTAAGGGAATACTGTCCCTCCTCTCACTTGTTAAATCCACAGAGCAGGTCTTTCAAAACAAATATTCAGGAGCAGTCTATTCTCCACCCTTCCCTGTGCCTGGCCTGGACAAGGTGTGATTGTGCTCGTGGCAGTGTTCCCATGTGTCAGTTAGGGTTGCCTGAGTGGCTCTGACATCTGCCTCTAAGGAGCTTTAGGTAGAGTGTGGGGAGCGTGACTGCAGGAGATTCAGCAGAGCCTATTTTGGCTGTACTCTGCATGGTGCTAGTTAGCCACTTTTGCTCTTATCTCATCTTGTATTGTTTCCATACAAAAGAAAGCACCTGAACTTCCAGTTTAGGTACAGGAACATTAACCTTGGCGAGTTTAAAACTTGTTCAAAGTATATGTTTGCTTCAGCACAATCCCAACCCAATGATAATTTTTATTCAAAAAAGCAAACAAACACCAAAAAACTAACAAAAACTAAACCAGCTCCCCCCCCCAAAAAAAACACCAGAAGTGTAAAATCCTTGATGCACTAATTTCAATTAATTTTACCTTGTCAAATTTATGATTACTCCATATATTCAATTAATGTTTCCTTGTCAAGTTTATGATTACTCCAAATATGATTACTCCATATTTTCCAAACATGAGAGGATGAAAGCCAAGCTGATGAATTACATGTTGAGCTGCTAAACCAAAGGTCAGCAGTTAGAAATCAACGACTTCTCTGCAAGAGAAAGATGAGGCTTTCTACTTCCAAAAAGAGTTCCAGTCTTAAAATCCACTGGGACAGGTTTACTCTGTTCTATAGGGTCCCTATGAATCAGAATCTACTCGTTGGCAGTGTGTGAGTTGAGTTTGTTCTATCTAATACAGTAGTCACTAGCCATATGAAGCTTTTCAACAGGCTATGCACCTAGTCTGAGTTGAGATGTACTATGAATAGAAAATAAACGCCAGATCCTAAAGGCGTAGTACAAATAAAAAGAAGGTAAAATGGCTCAATGTTTTATATTGATTACACGTTGAAATGATGCTTTGGGTATAATTATTTAAATAAAATATGCAGTATTATTAAAATTACTTTCTCTTATCCTTACACTTTTATAAATGATATTACAAAGTTTAAAAATTACCTATGTGGCTCATATTTATATTTCAGTGAAATACTGCTGAAAATCAGAAGTTAGATCATTGGATTGCTCCATTATCCTGCTCTGTGTGCATTGCTGCTGATTGTCTCTTAACAAACATATAAATTAAACTATACAGAAGGGAACATTTGACACGTTCTTTTTATGTTGTCCAGAGTTTGACAGGAGGAGCCAAAGGAGGGGTCCATTGTACAGATGTAACCAATGCAAGTAGGACGATGCTTTTTAACATTCATTCTTTGGAATGGGATAAAGAACTCTGCGAGTAAGTTACTTTTGCCATAAGTGTAATTTGCCAAATATGTTACCTGCTTATAACCTGCTTTCAAATGTCAGTGGAACACCAAAATTTAATTGTTCATATTTCAACTATAGCATGCTAATCTATGTTGTGTGTTTTTGTATGAGAGGCTACTATTGCATATGTTAGAAGTCTTAAGTATTCTTTAAGGAAGATTGGATTTCTTTAGTAAAGGTAGATTTCCATTTTTTTTCATTCTTGTTGATTTGCTTACTTGCTTGTATAAAGTCTGAAGCGTACAACTACATCTGTTGGATTATCTATTGCAATTTAATTTTATACTTAAATACCTCCTGTTTCCAATATGATGCACATTTTGCCTTTAAGATATGTAAAGATTTCCAGATATTTCCTTGAACCAGCCTTATATACATGATACTATCTTACTATCTTTCAGCTTTTTTGAAATTCCAATGGCGATTCTTCCCAGTGTCCGGAGTTCTTCTGAGATCTATGGCCTCATGGTAAAAAAGGAGAACACTTATACTTTCTTCCATTAAAAAAATGAGGGAAAATGTCTATTCAGAATTCAGAAGTCAAATGTATTATTGCTTCTAGTTTGGGAGATTTGGAACATTCCTGTTTGGTAGTATATAAAATTAGAAATTAGTGTTTTTAAAATGGTTTTATAATCTACCCCCAAAATTTGGAGGATTCTTTTAATTTACTATAGATGTCATGGGAATGTTTGACCCACTTTATTTGTACAATCCAAATAACTTTAGTAATTGTGACATCTACTTTGAATTTATGAGAGGGGGGACTACTTACATTTTAGTGCTAGCATTTTTCCTGCTAAATCTCTTTTAGTGGCCAAACAGTGTTATATAGTATTTGCTTCTGTAATAACCTGAGCAAAACTTTAGCAAAGAAGCTGAAAGCAGAGAATCTGTTTTTGATTTGTGGTTGCTAATTAAACTGATCGCCATATTGAACATTTTTACTGTTAGCTTCCTTCAAACTTAGAAAAAGAATAGTTTCAGAAAAGTATCCTTGACATCATTTAGTTAGAAACTTTATTGGCCTCTAGGACTGTTAGTGAAAGAATTGGCCACTAAAAGCTCTGGATAAAGTTTGAGCAAGAGTTTTAAAAATATTTCATATACAGTGAAGCTTTTGAAGGCAACATGTTTTTTCAAGGGAAGCATACTTGCTGCTTATCTACAATAAAAGCACTTCAGTAATTTCGTAGCTGCCAACAAACTGACTTGGGTCAGGGGAAAATGACTACTCTTGGGAAAATGTTTCAGAAGATATTTTAAAAACACACACACATTGAACACTTTTCTCTTGCATTTAAAATATTGTGCTTCTGTCCCCTTTTTTCCCCTGGCTGACTGTAGAAAATCTCTCACAGCCTGGTGAGTAGGTTGCCCACCAACTATTGCTACCCATTCATTTGGAAAAGATACAGTGCATTTCCACTTCGATTCAGACAAGCGGAAGTCCATTTGCTGAACAGATGTATCAAGAATTTGTGTCATCTCCATCCAAGTTATGATAAACTCTAGTCAGGTTTTAGTGTGTTTGCTTGTTTTCCTGATTTAATCATGTTGGTTTATTTTTAAGTTTTCCAGAAGACTGAGAGTATGTTGCTAAAAATAATTGCGCGCGCGCACAGACACACACACACACACACACACACACACAACTAAGGCAATTCCTAGAATCTGAAATTCTCACGTTTTCCATTTGTAAAGTATAGCCGTGGTGTGTTTTGAATTCATACTAGGGAAATAAGAGACCGTTTTCCAATGCATGAAACATCTATCTTAAATGGTAGCTCAACCCACCTTGTCGACCAGCTCAGTTGGAAATGCACTGTCACTTTTTCTGCATGCTTCACCAGAGGAGGCTCCAAAGAATTCCCCAGAGGCCCCTCCCAACGAAGAAATAAAGGATGCCTGAACCTGCCTGAATGCTCAGAGTATGTCCTGTCCCAAAAGTACAAGCAAGGACTTCCTTTTTTAGTATTCAAATATACTCTTGGTTTCCTATGAAGCCACCTTAAGACCTTAAAGCTTTTGATTAAATTGGCCCTTCACTTATTATCCCGATTCAAATATCCAAAGACTATACCCTAAGCAAAAGTGGTAGGCCTTACATTAACCTCAAAGCATGAAAGCAAGAAAATCATATCAGATAGCATAGAGGGGTATTTTCTGTTTCATAAAAGCTTTCCCCATATTTGTTCTCATTTCCTTCTCATTCTAACCATGGGAAGTGGATTTTATTTTTACCCTCTTTTTAGCAGACAGGGAGCCCGGACCTCCCAGGGGCTGGGACACTTGCCCACATAGTCAGACTGAAGGATCAGTCTCAACTTTCTGTTGTTCAGTACTCTTTCTTTCTTTAGAGATCATGTTCTTCCCTCTAATTCTGGAGTAGCAGTAAAAATTGTGTGTTTGTGTATTTTTTAAAAGTATGGTAAAGTACACAATCTACCACTGAAAACTTTTCTTTGTAGTGTGCTGGCCATACTTGAGCAAAAAGCAAAAACCACTATTCATAACATAAATGAACTCTTGCTTATTTAACCGTGAAGAATTCTCCTCACGTATGTGAAGGTCAAATCATATCTAATACCTGAACGCTCCTGGGTTTCTTTCTTGTTTGTCTTAAGAGCAGTCTGAGTAAGAAAGGAGTATTGTTAAAAACGAAGCTTTCCAAAAGAAAGACATTACAGGCTAGTTTGACACCTCTGTCCCTCTTAAAAGGATGCATTTGTCATTTGACAATGGCAACAAGGCACTCATGAACTCCAGCGATCTAGTAGCCCAGCTCCCATTTTGTAGATGCACCAATGGGGAGGGTCCCACAGCCAGCTCTGGGTCTTGCTACTAGTTCACAGCTGAACCAGGGGGAAAGCCCAGGCCTCCTGACCCCATCGCCCCTTAGTCTCCTTTTTTTTCTGTCATGTCATGTCTCTTCTTGGAGCTCTAGAAATACTTCTATATCTGTACCACTCATGTAGTTAAATAGCTTGCTTTGCCTTGTCTGCCCACATGCCAGAGCATGTTGCTATGTGTGTTGATTCATGTTGCTGCTATGTTAATGAGGCCAGCAGTTTGCTATTATTCATAATGTTTGTTTTTAATTTCATTAGAAAGCTGGAGCCTTGGAAGGTGTGCCTATATCTGGGGTAAGTTTACTCACCACACGTTGCCTTGCCAATCCCAACCCCTCCTCCTATATCTTAGATAATCAGCTCTTTCCTAAAAAATAGAAGACATGTAACAGCAGGAAAATTGCCTCATTCTAATTCTTCCATGACACAATGTGGGCCATTAAGAATCTTGAATAATTTCATGAATTATTCCTCTTCACGCTCCCTCTCCACACCTGATATCTTATGGGAATATTAAACCAATGGGAAAGTAGCAAAATGAAAGTAATGCAAGAAACAAACAGTGTGTTCCTTGCTAACTATAAAGGGAAAAGCAGTCATCTGACTAGACTACTTCAGGAATGTATACTGCTGTTTCAGTCTGTGTTTATTGTCATTTATCCTTTCAGTGCTTGGGGGACCAGTCTGCTGCATTAGTAGGACAAATGTGCTTTCAGGATGGTCAAGCCAAGAACACGTGAGTTTTAAGAAGTAGACCTGAAAACCAATACCTAACAGGAATGATGGTTCACTTGTTCTGACCATTTGGTTCTTTGGATGTGGAAATGCAGCTGAAGGCCTTCCAGACTAAAACTCATCCACTTAGTGCATCCAGTCTAGATATACAATTTGTTATCACTTGTTTTCCTTAAGCTGTAAATAAGATACATGATGCCATGTGTACAGGTATTGCAGAATCTTATGAAAACTGCCTTCATTTCCTAGTGCTGTTGTAACAAATAGCACAAGTTGGGTGGCTTTAAAGGAGAGAAATTTCTTTTCTCCCAATTCAGGAGGCTACTACTAGCCATTGTCGTTGAGTCAATGCTGACTCATAACCAACAATATAAGACAGGGTAGAACTGCCCCATAGGGTTTCCAATGCTATAATTTTCAGGGAAGCAGACTGCTAAATCTTTTGCCCTCCAAGTGGCTGGTGGGTTCATACCTTTTCAGTTAGCAGTCAGGCACTTAAAGACAGTGCCATCAGGACTCCTTCAAGAGGCGGAACCCCAAATCCCAAACCAAACCCATTGTCATTAAGTCATAAAAACCTCTATGGGCTTTCCAAGGTGCTGAATCTTTAGAGGAGCCTCATCTTTCTCTGGAAGAGCAGTTGTGGGTTTAAAATGGTGACCTTGAGCAAGTTCGCATTCCAATGCTTATCTGCTTATCAGACAGTGGAGCTTCAGCTCTTGGGGAAGTCTCTGCCACTGGACTCCAGAACAGTGGTTATCAACCTGTGGGTCAAGAACCCTTTGGAGGTTGAATGACCTTCTCACAGGAGTCGTCTAAGAACATTGGAAGACGCATATTTCTGATGGTTAGAGGTCACCACACCATGGGGAACTGTATTAAAAGGTTGCAGTAATTGGAAGATTGAGAACCACTGCTCTAGAGGAAGATCTTTATCTTTCTTAGCTTCTATGGCCTTTGACAATCCACTTTTCTCCATTTGTGCTGTCTCGTCTGTTCTGCTCTGCTGATTATCCCCTACTGATCAGGCTTAGGACACACCACATACTCATATGCCATCATTAACATAACAAAATTCTATTCTCAGGTATAAGGAGACAGACTTCATTTACTTTTGAATCAATTTTTCCATGAATTTTTTTTGTGAGGATCCCAGCACATAAATTGACAGGCTACAAATTCAGTCTTTAACAACGACCTTCATTAGTAGAATTCAGTGCCCTTTTCCTTTCCAGAAACTACACTTTGGCTTTAAAGTATCAATGAACCAAACACTATGCCATCTAGTCTATTCTGACTCATAGCAACTCTAGAGAGCAGTCCAACTGCCCATTAGGGTTTCTGAGACTGTGAACTTCATCTTTCTCTTGAGGAGAGGATGGCAGGTTTGAACCCACAACCTTGCAGTTAAATCACTGTGTCACCAGGGCTCTGTAGTGGGCTAGTCATTGGGCTGTTAACCACAAGGTCAGCAGTTGAAAACCACCAGCCAGCTCTGCAGGATAAAGATGAGGCTTTCTACTCTGTAAAAACGTACAGTGTCGGAAACCCATGGGGCAGTTCCACTTTGGCCTAAAGGGTTGCTGTGCATTGGAATTGATTTGATGGCAGTGAGTTTGGTTTTTGTGGGAGAAGAAGTGGGATAGAGCCATAATTTAAATGACAGCTTTCAGTGTATTACTTCTTCTTTCTATAGTTATGAGGAGTCCGGTGGCAGAGTGGGTTATACATTGGGCTGCTAACTATATGATCAGCAGTTCGAAACACCAACCACTCCACAGGAGAAAGGTGAGGCTTTCTACTCCTGTGAAGATTGACAGTCTTGGAAACCCACTGGGGACCACTTCTACTCTGTCCTGTAGGATCTCTAGGAGTTGGAATTGACTAGATGGAGTCAGTTTGGTTTAATTTACTATAATTATAGTCATTTTTATGGAATTTTCAGTGTTAGTTTCCTGGTACTGTGCTTTCTACCCATTATCTGAGTTTTTTCCTTGGCAAGGAGAAATAATGATGGAAATAGAAATTTGCTGGATCTTTCCACTAACTCTATTTCCTTATTATTCAAAAGTATGGATCCTGTGACAAGCCTCCTATTTCAGAGTAATATGATCAGTCCTACTTTTCAATGTCAAAAACATGCTCTCTCAGAAAGGTTGTGACTTTCCTAAAATTATAGCATTGTTAGAATCAGAGCCAAATCTCAAATCTCCTCCTTCTGACTCAATCCGGAGCTCTTTGTACTGCAGCATGAAGCACACTTAGGAAGCCTGTTAGACATTTTAAAAACCCCTACTGATTACATGTATTGATGAACAGCAGTAAATGCTTTTAAAAATTTAAGGTATACAAATCCAGCTAGACCAGAGCATGTACACAGGTACAAATAAAAGCTGGAAACACAGGGAACCCAGGACAGACAAACCCCTCAGGACCAATAATGAGAGAAGCGATACCAGGAGGGGAAGGGGAAGGTGGGGGTGCGGGGAAGGAAGAACTGTCACAATGATCTATATATAAATCCTTCCCTGGGGGACAGACAACAGAAAAGTAGATGGAGGGAGACAGTGGTCAGTGTAAGACATGAAAAATAACAATTTATAAATTATCAAGGGTTTGGGAGGGAGGGAGGAAAAAGAATGAGGAGCTGATACCAAGGGCTCAAGTAGAAAGAAAATGTTTTGAAAATGGTGATGGAAACAAATATACAAATGTGCTTGACACAATGGATGGATGTATGGATTGTGTTAAGAGCTGTATGATCCCCTAATAAAATGATTTAAAAATTGAAGGTAATACTTATAAATGATAACACAAGCTCAGCAAATGGATATTGAATGACAGGCAATAAATACACTATGTGCTCCAAACACATTACCTCATTTAATCCTCAAAGCGGTTCCAAAATCCCCAAGTTTAAAAGGAAGAAACAGAGAACTAAGGTAATACATTCAGATAATATCATACAGCTAGTATGTTAGACCAGGGTGACTAGGGAAACAAATCAAGTGATACTCATGCATGTGTAAGAAAGAACTTTTTAAAAAATATATCATTTTATTGGGGGCTCATACAACTCTTATCACAATCCATCCAGACATCCATTGTGTAAAGCACATTTGTACATGCATTGCCCTCATCATTCTCAAAGCCTTTGCTCCTCATTTCTTCTCCTCCCTCCCCGCTCCCCACTCCCTCATGAACCCTTGATAATTTATAAATTATTATTTTGTCATGTCTTACACTTATATCAAGAAGTAGTTGTGTATCAAGAAAACATCCCAGTACAATTCGATAAGTTCAGTACTAGTCCACAAATCCCTCTTCAGACTAAAGCAGTCAGAGCAGTGCTGCAGAAGGCAGGATGATCACAGGTTGGTGGGTACCGAGTCCTGTGGAACCAATGCGGTAGACACATCACAGTGCTCTGGTTGCAACCAAGGTCCACCAGCAGGAAGGTAAAGGCAGGAGGGGTTGGGGAGTCCCAGGGCCCTCCTTATGAGAAGGCCACACCCACAAGCAGGCACCATCAGGCTGGGACTTGATTGACAGGTTGAATACCACCCACATGTTTATATATCTTCAAGTTGACAGGAACTTATGTAACTACCACAGCTAGTAAGCAGCAGAAGCAATAGTCACATCCAGATCCATCTCATTCCTCAGCCAGCATTCTTAATACTGTACTGTCCCCTGTGTGGAAAAGAGTTGCTTAGACTTGGCAGGGGGCTGTCTACATTCCTTCCTGGAAAAACTCCCGAATTCTCTCATCAATCCTCACTTCCGGTGATTCAGCTCTTCTTTTGTGAAGAATGCAATGGCTACCATATTTAGATGGTGAGCAGCCGTCTGAGTATGACATAGTCTGTGTGCGAGTTTTCTTGGAAGAGGAGATATGAAAATTCTTTGCAGGTTATGGTAACCTGAGGTTACTAGCAGGAGAATTTTAGTCAGCATGTGTTTGGAAATACATTCTTTGAATCCTAGGTTCCAGGCAGATGAATCAGGATTCAAGAGAACTAAGAGAGAAAAGTAAACTATTTTCACCCTTGTTTTGTCCTCAGCTAGGAAAACAAACACGAGTAAATCAGATATCATCTATACATGTTTGTTGCCTAGCCCATAATACAGCAAATGGTAGGCACTTCATTTCCTCTTTTCCCTACTCCCCTGTCCCTAAGCATTAGCAGCCCAGTCCTTGAATTAGGGAGTGCTTGTTGAGTACATCTGCAGCAACCGCAGATTAAAACAAAAAACTAAGCTCACTGCCATCAGGTCGATACGGACTCAGCAACACAATAGGACAGGGTAGAACTGCCCTGTGAGTTTCTAAGACTAACTCTTACGGGAGTAGAAATTCCCATCTTAAGAGTGGCTGGTGGTTTCAAACTGCGGACTGGTAATTTACAACTACACAGGGGAATAGCAAAAAATATGAGTGGAAAACCTGGGAGAAAACTTCAAAAGGTTTGTGGGGAAAATGGAATTGAAGAAGGATGACATTTTTCCCCACAACTTTTTGTAGCTCTACCCTGTTATATTTAGGGGAAGCAGGAGACATGGGGATAGAGAGCAGGAGAAGTAGGAGAATGCGGTTATTCAGTAAGTGTAGAAATCGAAAGTAAAGATACATAAGAGGGAGGCATAGTAAAGTCAAGGAGACGGAGAACTTGAAAACAGAATATTGGACGTTTAAAATGAGTACTTCATTGGTAATTCCCAAAATGAAATTATATTACAGTGAACCCTCGCCACTTCGCGCTTTGACTTCCGCGGCTTCACTCTATCGCGGTTTTTGCGTAACAGCGCATGCTCTGTCATTACTGCCACTGATTGGCTCATACTGTACACGCTTGATGCCATAAATAATATAATAACTAATAAATGATAATTGTAACGTCCAAAATGTTTTACTGTATTTTCCCTTTTTTGTTTAATAAATTGGGTAATACGAGTGTAATGGTGACTAAAGGGTGTTTTTTCATGTCCTCTATGCTCTAACTACAAAAATATTTGATTTACAAATAAGGAATCCTACTTCGCGGAATTTCATTTATCACGGTAGGGTCTAGAACCGATTAACCGCGATAAACGAGGTAGTTTCCCAGGACAGCTGTCACAAAATATTACAAACTAGATGGCTTATAAAATAGAAATTCATTGTCCTATCATTTTGGAGGGTAGGAGTCTGAAAACAGGATATCAATCATGTTGATTCCTTCGTAGGGCTCTGTATTAGTCTAGGTACTTTGGAGAAACAAATCCACAGCAACTCATATATAAGAGAGACTTTTATGTAAAGAAAAGGTGCATCACGAAGACATCCCAACCCAATGCTGCCTAAGCCCACAAGTCCAACATTAACCCATTAACCCATCACCAGTCCACAAAGTCTTCCACCTCACAAAACAGAGGCAATGGCGCCGACTGCAGGAGGAAAGCTGAGTCAGTGAATAAATAAGCATCTCAGCACTAGCAGAGGTCTCCACACAGTTGCTCCAGCACCCAGGGCTGCATCGGGATAGATCCATGCGGCTTCTCCTTGGGGATGTCTTGTAGGAAGTCAATCTTGCAAGCTGAAGCAGGGAACTGCTAAGGCAGCTGCACCCTGGTGTGCCCATCACAAAGCAAGAGACCCGAGAACTAGAAAGGCGAGGCTCACCACCCATTTATCCCTCCGCCTTTCAATTAGCCCCACATGTGATTATTGGCCAGGCTGGTACAATTAACTAACTCAGGCTCTGTCAGGGAATCTGTCTCTCTTAGCTTCTGGTGCCGGCCAGTGATCCTTGGCTTGTAGAAGCATCTCTGAATGACCATCATCTCGCTTTCTCTGTGTAGCTTTTTTTTTTAATATAAGCACATCAATTGCAGAAGAGTAGAACCCATCCCACTCCAGTGTGACCTCATGTTAATCTAACTGATAACATCTTCAAAGACCCAGTTGCCAAACAAGGCCATCACTTTTCACAGCTGGACATTAGTATATTTTTTGAGGAGGACACACAATTCAACCCATAACAAGAGTTGAAGTGGTGTGTTCAAAATGGAGGGCAGTTTCCAAATGGTTCAAAAAGAGTTAACAGGTGAATAGAATCTAGAAACAGCAAGACTGAAGATGCTTTCCAAAACTGCAGCCGTCTGGGAATGGTGAGAGCGCTAACCGGTTTGTTAGGGTTTACCAGGGTCACATAGTTTGCTGACTCTTCTGTTTTTCTTTTGAGGTTATGATAAAACCGGAGAAGATTTCTTTTGTGTCTGAACAGAGAAGAGGTGGAAGTTGTAAAATAAAAAGAGGCTAAGCGATAGGCAGAAGGAAGTTCCTAAAACACCTAAGAGAAATTAGAATGGAGAGTTTCCTTAACCTCTCTAGGTAGCCCTTAGCAGGGAGAATATGACAGTTCAGAATTTAATGGGAAGCATATCTCTTGTTCAAGGTCAGGGAATGGCTTATGAGGGATTGTAACTTTACTTTTGATTTTTCTCTCTAGTTCCTAATATAGAATGAATTATGTGAGCATTGCATTTCATTTTTAAGAAAGAGAACCTAAGACAGATGCCTCATCTGCTTTATAATGAGCGATTCACTGAATGGAATAAAGAAGACCTTTCCCCCCTCACAGCTTCACCTGTGCCTCAGCCGCGCCTCATGTTGTGCTCATCTGGAGCACACCCCTCTAGGCTGCTCAACCCTGAACTCATTGTCTTGAAGCCGCCTTTACTTTCTCAAATGTTAAAAAAAAGGAGGCGGAGACAATTCAACATCTGGGATGTTTAAACACAGCGCCTCTTGCAAACGCCATAGGAAGGCGTTGCGAAGGAGGAGGAGCGTTAGTGGCACAGTGGTTAAGCACTCGGCTACTCCCAACCATCAGCCCACTCCCTGGGGGAAAGATGTGGCAGTCGGATTCCGTAAGCATCATAGCCGGTTGGGGCAGTTCTACGTTGTTCTTCTAGGTCACTATGAGTTGGAATGCCACGGAGCATTACGCAACAGGTTTGGTTTGGGTTTGGGGATTTGTGAGGAAAGAACAATATCATTTAAAGAGGGAAATAATTGCCTCTATGCTGCCTTAAAGGAGCCCTGGTGGGTCATGAGTTGGGCTGCTAACCTCAGAGTCAGCCATCCGAAACCAGAGGAAGATGAGGCTTTCTATTCCCATAAAGCTCAACAGTCGTGGAAACCCACAGGGACAGTTCTACTCTGGCCTATAGAGTCACTCACTAGGAGTCAGAATTGCCTCCGTGGCAGTGAGCCTGGGGTTTTCTTAAAGGAGCCATGGTGGCATGGCAGGTTGTATTTTGGGTTGCTAACTGCAAGAGCAGCCATTCAAACCCAGCAGCTGTTCTGAGGGAGAAAGATGAGGCTGGCTGCTCCCATGGAGAGTTACAGCTTTGGAAATCCTACAGCAGTTCTACTCTGTCCAATAGGCTCGCTATGAGTCCGAATCAGCTCTCTGGCATGACTTGAAGTGTTATGGTCTAGCTGTAGCAATGTGAGTCTCTTTGTTCATTGGTGAGACTCGTTAACACAACTCCTCAGGAAGCCCTCAAAGAGACAGATGAACAGAATGGCTTTAACGATGGACTCAAAGGACCTGTCTTAGGCAGTGTTTCATTCTGCTGTATGCAGGGATGCCTTGAACAGGGCTGGCTTGATGGCAACTAACAACAATCACACCACATCAAATACACCATCTCGCTTAAGAATTCATTTTAATTTATTAAGCATTATGAGCCATCACATCAACTTTGCACTTTTAGACTCATGCACAACCCTTCGGTGTACAGGGGTAATGATATAGGAGCTAAATTGGCACAGATTTCTCCTTTTAAAGAAAAGAAGTGAAGCCCAGATCATTAAATTCCATGTTCATGAATATTTATTAAAAGAGAGGAACCAAAAACACAGGATTTTCAGAGATGTGGCATTCAAAAGATGTGATTTATGTGTTTTCATTTGTAAGTGCATTGTGCTCACCTAGCATAGTTTGACAAGTGTCTTTATAAACTTGTATACAGGTAGTGCCCGGTCCACAAACATCAGTAGAAGTATAGCCTGTAGTTATGACCCAACCTCCTGCCCTCAAAAGCTATTACAAGGTACATACACAATGTTGGGAATAAGAAGCAGGCACTACTTTTCAATACACAAAAAAAATTACTGTATTACTATGCTACAGATATTTTAGTATATCTGGAAGTGTTTATTTTTTTTATACATAGAAAGGTAAACTATATACTATATACTGAAACCTTTGAGTAACAAGTTAGATTCAAACTGGACTTTACTGTTCCAATTTACAGACAAATTTGATTTAAAGGCAGATTTAGGAACTGAATTTGTTCATAATCCGGGACTGCCTGTATTCATTAATCCGATGCTGCGTGGATGTGCCGGCTGTTCATCAAGCAGGTAGAGAGAGAGAATATCTGAGCTAATTCTTACTCAGAACAATGGTGCCTGGAGATTGGGGGAGGGGTGTATTGGAAAAAGTTCCCACCATTTCGGCTTGGTTCCACAAGAGAAAGGCAGCTGACAGCCTCCGTTGCCTTTGTGTTGATTGGTGGTGGCTTCTGCTGGCCTCTGTCTGGCAGCACTTGGACTGTGCTCGCTCTCCCTCAGCTGCTGGAATGTCTCCTACTAGAAGGTCACCAGGAGGGTCAGAAGCAAGGTTTAGAGTACAGCAGTCAGGCCTGTGAGAGAAGGAACAGCTAGCTGCCTTTATTATCCCACTCTGCCGACAACAATTTCTCTGTGACCCCTACTGCGAGCAATTTGGGTTGCTTATCTGCCTGACACAAATGAAAACCAACTTAGGATTAGCAAAGTGCCAAACTGTTGGCAGCATGCAAAGCTCAGGCCCATAGGACAGCACAAGAGAACTGCACTTCCTCCATGTCAGTGGATTGCAGGCTGGCTCTGATGATCCCCCCGATGTTCTAATGAATGCTCTATCCCGCAGAAAGAACTGGCAAGGGGGGGGCCTTCCCTTTGAGTGCCGCTACTGTCCCCACATTCCAACTGCACATCCCACATGCCAGACCAAACCTCTCCTCTGTGCTGGGAGCTCGTGTCTTTCCTGGTGTATGACTGTGTCTATCCTAGAGCTTAACACGGCAGTTCCATCCGTAGATGGCTGTTGACCATGGTGTTTCACCCCATGTGGATCATTGGTGGCCACGCCACTGTGACTAAACAGCGATTCGTTGTATTTTCATATTGTTTTGTCAACACCGCCTTAGGCTGTAATGGACTAATCTCAAAATACCTACCATTACCTACCTTTGTTTTCCCCCATTTCCATTATGAGAAGTGCATTTTCTTCTATATTGCTCTCTGAAAGGTGCTCGTTCACTTTTTTTAACACTTTAATCTAGTGACTTTTTTTGCACTCAGTTAAATGTCAGCTTAGATAATTTCTCTTCCTAGTGTCTCATACTTTGCAATAATAAAATTGCCAATACTGTTCATTCTCTCCACGTCTCCCCCGCCAACTCTAGGTATGGAACAGGCTGTTTCTTACTTTGCAATACAGGCCACAAGGTTAGTTGGTGGGGGTGATGTTTGTTCAATCAAAAAATGACTAAAAATCCTCTTTAAGTTCATATATGTGATGCTTGAGCATAATCTGCTGTCAAGTGACTTTTGATTTGTCAGCTTTTATCTAACCTTTCTTTGTTCTGGGGTCAAGTTAATGGCAACTACCAATATCCGTAGCCTTTAATGTAGAACTTGATAACAGCCACCGATAGGGTCCTAATAAGAACCATTTCAAGTTCCTCAGATTTTCTATTTGTGTTTTTAGTTATATTAATGGGAAATCCAGACTGGGACATTGTCAGATTCTTAATTCAATTTGAATTTAGAAGGAGGAATAGACTTTGCACCATTTAATTGTTTTCTTTTTAATAAAATTACTTGTGATGTTGACTCTTAGGGTTATTGGTCATTTATCCTTAAAACTGGCATATTTAAGAAATCATTTTGTATCTAGGTGATTTTAGCTTATAAGATTGTTTCTTATTTTCTCAAACACTGACCTTTCTTTCTGTTCTGTACAGTGTGTATTTTCTGAACACGGCCTTCTGACAACGGTGGCTTACAAACTAGGCAGAGACAAGCCGGTTTATTATGCATTAGAAGTAAGTTCTTTAAAATCAGTGTGGGTGATATGATGCACCTTCAAAACCTATGATATATCCGAGTGTTTTTCAGGACCTTTTCTTGTTATGAACCATGGACTCCCAGCAGACCTTGACTTTTCTCAGCTCTTACACCAGCTACTCATGTAAACTTGAACATTTGACTTGAGCACTCTTGACTTAATATTTAAGATTCCGTCCAGCTTGAGAATTTGGTGGTTTTATAACAGAATGCTCCGGTGTTCCAAAGAACACTAGTGGACCACAAAGGCCAAGCAGCTCTCTTCATTTGTCTTTGTCTCCCCGCAAGAATGCATCTTGCTGTCACATTTTGGTGTGGGAAAGAAAATGAGGCAATCCATGCAGTTTACTGCCAGAAGCATTTGTTTTAAACACATTTGTAAATGTTAGTAGGAATGACATTAGTTTATGTTTGTAGGGTATGGTCAGCTTATATTCTGCTTATAATTCCACAATCTTTGGAAACATTTATAAAGTCAAAGACATGACACTCTTTTAATAAAATCAAGTACATTTCTTCTAAGTGCTGTATAGTTTGTTTTGAAATGAGTTCTTTGCAATGTGCATGTATAAAATGGCTTTGAAAGCATATTGAGCCCTATTTCCTGGTGTCTGTTAATAATCTGGGAATTTTTTAGGCTTCTGTGTATGGTTAAAACATTTTATAAATGGCTATGCCTAGTACACGAGGAATATTTGTTCATTTGTTGTTTTTATTTCCCTAAGCTCTTTCATTCCTCCCCTAACTAACCCCTTTTCTGTAAGTAGAAGAATTATGATAAACTTGTTCTGTGTATTAAAGCATTGACACGCTTCCCTAGACCTACAATCCTATGGCCTCTCTCCTTCCCTTTCCTCCCTTGTGAAAGGGACTGCGCACATTGACTGTAGATTTGAGAAGTGTTTCCTAGAATAATAAAGACCAAGTTGTCCTCCTTTTCTCTTAGGACACAACCAGTGGTTTAGAATTAAATATAACTCTAACTCACTCCCATTGAGTTAATACTCATAGTGACCTTACAGGACAGCGAAGAACTGCCCTTGTGAGTTTCCAGGGCTGTAACTCTTTAATAGGAGTAGAAAACCTCATCTTTCTCCCTGGGAGCTGCTGGTGGTTTTGAACTGTCGACTTTGTAGATCGCAGCGCAATGCATAGCCACAGTGTCCCAGGGCTCCTCTAGAATTAGATATAGCAGTTTAGAATTATAGATCCTGAGAGTGTCTCAGGTAGGGGTTACTTGTTCTTAACTTTTCTCCCAATAGGAAAAAGCCTCTTTTGGGGTGTATTTGACTGATATCCCCTCGACATTTGTTTGAAAAAGTAAGCCAAAGAAGTTTGGGAATCCGCGACCTAGATTCTTTTCTGTATTTGAGTCAGCATATATGGTTTTGTCCTGTTGGGGTTTTTTGTTTGTTTGTTTGTTTGTTTTGCTTTTTATATGTTGTTTGTTATCCTAAGTATTTAAGAGCAAGAACAAAAGGGGTAGGGGTTGGGGAAGTATAAACACACCATACTCAGTTGATGTACATCAGCATCTCCCTCTTTTTTATGACCAGGAGAACTTCCTCCCTCACCCTCTCAGGCCCCTGGCATGTGATTCATCTGGGTCTGAAATTCCAATCTCTCTGGGCTCGCATTTTCATTATCTGATAAAGGAATTGGACCACATGATCTTTAAATTGTTCTAGGACTTTAAACTCATTTAACACGAATCAGATTTGCCTCACTCTTTGTCATTGGAATTTGCGTTCTTCGTGATTCAAGAGACTGAAACAAAATAGCAGTTAAACAAACAGGACTTCCCTCTGCCATCTCTGTCTTCCCTAATACACCATCCTCTCCAGACTAGTCTGCTCCCTGCCCTAGTTCATCTTTTTTCCCCTAAACATTATTTCAGCAAACATTTTTTTTCCTTCGGGTGAGCCAAACGTTTAGTTTTCTTAATTTTTCCTGTTTATGGCCTTATTTTCCATCTGGAGTCTTCATTCAAACAGGTGCAGAAAACTTACTGTAGTTACTTTTGAGCAAATGTCATAAAATTCAGTGATTTCCCCAGCCATTTTAATACCTAACCAAGCAAAAGTTCCCTTTCTATCATTCTCTTTATCCCATAGATGAACACCAACATCTGGAATTTTCATACTTTCTAACATGACGTTGAGGAAAAATAACCAAATGATCGTGGTACTTTCACTGTGTTTATCGACTTGAGCAAATTTAGAACTTGGAGCTTCCTAGTTCTTGATTTTGTTGCTAGGATGTCTTTCTTTGACTATCTTACCATGTTTCAGATGAAAGTTACATAGCGAATTAGGTTCCTGGGTTTGGTTTGGCTTCACAAATTGTTCGTTGGTGTTGCTTACAATTTTCACAATGTATCTTCATTCTTTTGAGTTCCTTTATCTAACTGCTTATCTCTTCCTTGCCTTCCCATGCGCCCTTGTGGGATACTTGTCAACCATCTATCTGATTGTTTAAGGAAGGAAGCACATTCTTCCTTCGGTGTTGCTGTTTTATTTTATAAGCCAATCTATTATTTGACTGAAAAGAGACCTCTGGGAGAGGCTTCAGTTCCAAATAACAAAAGGTAACTTAGGTGATAGTTTCAAAGGTTCTTCTAAGTCTTTTATTATATTCACCACCATTTTATAGATGAGAAAATGGAGACTCGGAAAACTTAAGTGATTTGTGTAAAAATCACCTAGCAACGAAGTGCTGGAGCTGGGACTCAATCCTGGCTCCTCTCGGACCTGGATTTCAAATCGTGGCTTCTCTTCCTTTCTGTCGCAGTGTCCACGCCCCGACACTGTTAGTCATCGGAATTAGACCCGAGCAAAAGTAGTGTGGTCTTTCCTGACAACTTTGTGAGTCAGAGTAGCATATACAAGAGGGTTTCAAAAGTTTATGGAAAAATGAGATTAAAAGGTACAAGAATTTTTCCCTGAACTTTTGGAGTCCCCTTGCATTCTAGGTAATGATATTCCTATGTAGCCCCAGCACAGATAGAACAATTGTACAAGAAACAGACTACCCAAAAGATTGATATCCACTAATGAGGCTGGATCCGTTAAGAAGCAGGAGGGCTCTCTGCTTGGCCCTGTCTCATGAAAAACTATTCGTGGCCTAAGTAAAAGTTTGTAACAGAAGCCCTTATTCCTCATATTTCTAGAAGTCCTAAAGTTTAAATGTTTGAATTTTATCTCCTTGACAGTGTCAGACTGAGAGCCTATGTTTAACCAGAACCATTTGTAGTGAACACATATGTTGTATCACAGATTCCTTTGTTTCTGTCCTTAGGGTTCTGTAGCTATAGCTGGTGCTGTTATTCGCTGGCTGCGAGACAATCTTGGAATTATAAGTACCTCCGAGGAGATTGGTAAGTGTGTTCTAACAAAGGGCTGGGCACTCTGAATCATGAAACCGTTTCCTAGTGTGCCTCTGCGATCTGCGAATACATGGCCTATGCCCTGTGCTGACATGGAATGATATGGATCCCTGTCATGAGTTTGACTTCAACAGAAAAGACTGGCCCGTGGCGGTATACATAGAACAACAAGTGGACAAAATTTGTGGTGGTTATTAATAAACTGGCATGGTTGGGCATAAAAATCGCCCAAGTGTCAAATTGTACACCAAAGATTACTGGAATCTACAAGTAAAATAGTCCAGCTCAATTTATCTGATGAGAAAGAGCTTTAAGCCTGAGCTTAGAGTGAACACTATAATTCTGGTCCCTATAATATAAATATTCATCAGGCTGTTTTCAGCGCATAGCTCATAATTTTGAATGCATCGACTTCTTCCTCTGCCCACTTGTTTTACTTTGCCAGAAGATAAAGGCAATAAGAAATCGTGTTTCTGATTTGATACAGTGCACACCAGTTGTCATCTCCTGGTCAGCAATGATAAATCATAGTGGAAAGGACTAAGACACATGAAGGAAGCTAAGCTAGTTCCTTTATTGTTTGTGCTGGGTTACATGTTAGTGGGAATGTTTACTATGGGGAGACTTGTTCCTCAGAATACTGTGGAAAGTGGGAGCATTGGAGTATGCCAAAGAATAGAAAACCCAAAGCCTTGTCCTAGTTTCTAAAAATAGTGTGTTTATTGAGTGAAGTAAGATATTCATACTTGGATTTTTTCCCCCGAATATTAGAAAAACTCGCTAAAGAAGTAGGTACTTCTTACGGCTGCTACTTCGTCCCAGCATTTTCAGGGTTATATGCACCTTATTGGGAGCCCAGTGCAAGAGGGTAAGTAGTGACCATAGGCTATGCTTGTTTGGGTCTTGATTTCTTTATCTCTACTCAATTGAGTGTGTGTGTCTCCTTTCCTATCTTATTTTCAAATGACTTTAAAGTGTTAAAGAACTCTTTTGCCTTTGTGAGGGATTATCTCTCTCTCGCCCTCTCACTGCCACCTGCCACCGGGTCCATTCTGACTCCTAGCAACCCTCAAGGACAGAGAGGACAGAGCCCAACTGCCTCTGTGGCTTTCCAAAGCTGTGTTCACCTTCATGGAGGAGACAGCCTTCTCTCTCTTCGTGGAGCATCATTCCAGAACCTTTCAATTCTAAGTTCGAAGTCTTCAGACAGTACCCCTCTTGATTCCCGCTAACATAATTGTCATTTCTCTTCAAGGCCTCTGCAAGCTATCTAGCTAAGGGACACCATCTGAGGGAACAATGAGCTGCTCTGATATTATTTGCATCTATTCAGAGGGCTCATGAACCTTTGCACATGCGGACACAGGATTATGGACCCCAAAGATGATACCACTTAATAATTACGTTCTTTTATTTTTTTTCCCTTTGCCCTCTACCTTTCTGTCCACAGAATTCCAATTTATCCATGTATGTTGATTTGGGACATTTTAGAATGTTTCCTCATTTATAGCATCCTAATGTTAACATTTCTGTGTTTTTAGGATAATCTGTGGTCTTACTCAGTTTACCAATAAGTGTCATATTGCTTTCGCTGCATTAGAAGCTGTTTGTTTCCAAACCCGAGAGGTAATAAATATCGACCTGTTTTCTTATATTTGATCCACTGTTATCACTTTGAGCAAAATGTGCATTATGCCTGAAATATATTAAATATTTAATCCAAAATGAAGCCTGCCCATGCACTAATCCAATAAATACTATATTCCCCATCCCTCCCCCCAGCTAGCATTTACTTTCTAAATTCCCATCAAGTGCCAGACACTGGACAATTTACTGTTGGAGGTTGCTAAGTGGTACACAGTAGAGCAAGGGGATAGCGCAAACATCAGCAATGCAGTTGGGAGGCCAGGCTGCAGACAGAGAGCGGTTGACCTAGGGAGAGGGCAGAGGCATAAGGAGAGAAGGGTGGGTTCTGACCAGATCAGGGAGGGCTTGGAAGACCAGAATGAGAAACCGGAATTTGATTCCCTACTACTGTGGGGGTGCAATTGTGGGGGGGTGTTTGAGTGGAAGATTGCCATCTTCTGAGATGTCACTGGGCAGTAGCTTAAGTGTGTAATTGCATTTTGGTTTATTTAAGATTTTGGATGCCATGAACCGTGACTGTGGAATCCCGCTCAGTCATTTGCAGGTCGATGGAGGAATGACCAGCAACAAAATCCTCATGCAGCTGCAAGCCGACATTCTGTATATTCCAGTAGGTTAGTGAGCCTTCATTCCGTCCAGTTCCAGCCGTCATGCTTCCCTCCGAAGAGCTGGGTTTGTGGGTGCGTGTACTGACGGAGCTCTCTCCCCTCAGTGAAGCCCTCCATGCCTGAGACCACCGCCCTCGGAGCAGCCATGGCAGCAGGGGCAGCGGAAGGAGTCGGCGTGTGGAGCCTCGACCCTGAGGATCTGTCGGCAGTCACGATGGAACGGTTTGAGCCACAGATCAATGCTGAGGGTACATTGAAAACAATGAAGATTCAAATGATAATACAGTCATGCTCCACATAATGTCCGCGCACACATCATCCCACCACACGTTCAGCCACAGCCTCCACACACTACATGGGTATCTCCAGGCATTTTCGACAAAGTGTGTTTCCAGGTGTATAATAGGACCATAGATATTTTTTAAAAAGTAAACACATTTCTGTGGAGTCTTATTCCAACTCATAGCGGCCCTAAAAGACAGAGTAGAACTGCCCCATAGGGTCTCCCAGGCTGCAATCTGTACTGAGGTAGACCGCCACATGTTTATCCCACAGAGCAGGCGGGAGGGGCGGGCTCAAACTGCTGACCTTTCAGTTAGCAGCCAAGCATTCGACCACTGTGCCACTAAGGCTCCTTTGTAGCACACATATAATTACAATGCATCGCATAGTTTTTAAAGTCCTTTTTTTTCTAACAATGGTCTCTCTAATATATATGTCTTGATCGTCGTGGCAAATGTCTATATTTTTGTACAGATCTGTACAAGCATATGGAGCTACACTAAATGAGGAAAATAGTTTAAAAAAAGATACAGTGACATTTGTGTTTGTTTGTGACCATTCGCTTGTACTGTTTGCAGCCTTTCCTGTAGGAAGATGTCACTGCCACTCAGTCAGTTGCAGCTTGGTGTTGTTAGGCACCGTCAGGCCAGTTCTTACTGAAAGCCATCCAGTGTATCTACAACAAAGCAAAGCAAAACATTGTCCAGTCCCACACCATCATTGCTGTGTTTGGGTCCATTGTTGTAGCCACGGGGTCAGCCCATTTCATGAAGGAGCTCCCTCTATTGAGCTGACCCTCTGCTTCAGCAAGCATGGTATCTTTTTCTAGGAACTGGTCTCTCCTGATAACCTGTCCAAAGTGCGTGAGGCAGCATTTCCTCATCCTCATTTCTAAGGAGCATTTTGACTGTACTTTGTCCCAAGACAGAATTTTATATCTCCTGACAGGCCATGCTACTTTCAGTATTCTACTTTCGGTCTTCTCCAGCAGCACTGTAATTCAACACCATTGATTCTGCTTCAGTCTTCCTTACTCACTGGCCGGCTCTCATGGGCTTGGGAGACTATTGAAGATCCCATGGCTTGAATCGGGCACATGTTAGTCCTGAAAGTGACATCTTTGCTCCTCAAAACTTCAGTGACGTCTGGTGCTGCAGATTTACCCAATGTAATGTGCCATTTCATTTCTTTTACTATTGCTTGCAGGAGCACTGATTGTGTCTGAGTGAAATGGAATCCTTGACAACTTAAGTCATTTTTTCTGTTTTTTTTTCAAAGGGAGAAGGTAGATTTATCACCCTAGTGTCTACACTGATCATCTTCTGTGCCACTGGCCCCTTTTGTACATGATTTATCTGGACTGAGGGATACTCTGGTAACTTTCAAGCTAAGCAGGACTAGCCGAACAAAAGCAGCAACAATTTAAATTAAAAAATAATAATAACCTCACTGTCATAGAGTTGATTCTGACTCAGAGTAACCCTATAAGATAAAGTTGAACTGCTCCTGAGGGTTTCCAAGACTATAGCCCATTACGGGAGTAAAATGTGTCATCTGTCTCCAACAGGATGACTAGTGGTTTCAAACTGTTGACCTTGAGGTTAGCCAGCCCAACGCATAACCACTGTGTCAACAGGGATCCTGGCAATTTAAGTATATGGGAATTAAATATCTGATTCGCTGCCATAGCAAAGATAAGCCACAAGCTCTGATTAGTATCTTTATATTATTAAAATATAGGGGTGTATATATTAAATGTGGTTTGATAACTTTCTAGAAACTTGTGCGGATAGTAGTATTAAAGTGGATTTTGAGCCCATGGGAAATAAGCTTTCAAATGCATTTTTGCTTAATTTTCTCAAAGACTACATAGTGTTTCTTAATTTTGTTGGCTCTTTTCCATGTATAAGAGAATGCATTGCAATACTAGAATTTTATTATCAGATATGTATTACATAAATAATGCTTTACTTTTATAATATTGGATAAAATATGAAGTTCAGACATTTTTTTCTTTTTCTAAATAAAAAATTTTAAGGAGTAAGTGTTTAGATCTAAGCTCACTGTTAAAACAAGTAAGTTCTGTGCAAAGGGTTTTTGTAGATAACCATCACTGCCAACACTTTTGCCCAGAGTTGGATCAGTTATATTGATTATCTTTCCCCCTATTCTTTCCACAATATACACACACACACACACACACACACACCCTGATAGCAATGGGTACTTAGATAAAGTTCCAGCAAATATTTGTTTAGAGCCCATTCAAACCAGAGACAATACTTGTCATTGGGATATAGAGATGAATCAGACCAAGTTTTGCCCTTTAGGGGTCTCAAGTATCTTCGGAAAACTAGCCAAGCCCATCTGATATGGCAGGAGTTATCTTGAGGTATGTGCTAAGCACTATGGGAAGAGAGGAAAAGCCAGAAATGGTGAAAGCTCTCTCCTTGTTAAACCAAAGCTCACTGCCATCAAATTGATTCTGACTCAGTGACCCGATAGGGCCGGTTTGAACTTCCCCTGTGGGTTTTCAAACCTATAACCCTTTAGTGGAGTAGAAAGTTTCCTCACCTTTCTCCCATGGAGTGGGTGGTGGTTTCATATTGCTGCCTTGTCAGTTAGCAGCCCAACTAGTAACCCACGACACCACCAGGGTGCCTTCTTGTTAGGTGCCGTCAAATAAATGCAGGTGCCTTCAAATCAATTCTGCCTCAGAGAAAGTCTGTTTAACACAACACATCACTACCTGGCCCTGCACCAACCTCACCATCGTAAGTAGGTGTGTGCCCATTGTTGCAAGTACTCTGCCGCCTCTTGTTGGAGGACTTTGTTTTCTAAAGGGAGTGGCTGCTGAGCCTGCCCTCATGGAGCCCTTTCCCCTCACTGAGCCCGCTCGTGCGGGCGGCCAGTTTCAGTGGAAAGGCCGCGAGGCCACTCGTGGTTTGCTGTGGGTAGGAGGCGTACAGTCTGTGCCGGAAAGCACCAATGCCTCTATTTGTTTCATTCGGTGCAGGTTTTCATGTGAAAGAAATCCTACTTTAAGGTTTGGAGAAGTTTAGGCATCTCCTACGAATGCAACTGGTCTATCTTGTGAGGATTCATTCTTTGTTAAAAATCCTTTGACTGGATCAAAAACCAGCTCTCCTTTTTAGTCTTTACATTTTACAACATGTATCTCCCCGCAGCCTACACTCCCCACCTCAACACACACACACACATACACACACACACACACACACACACACACTCTTGATTCATCCTGTTTATGAATGGTTCCAACCTTAACAGGTAGCATATCTTTCAAGTCTTCCTTGAGCCTGCATAGCCTTGCAATCAGGGTCTCACTCCTGGTTCTAGGCAGTCCCAGCAAATGTGCTCTCTCAAACCTGCGTTGTAGGAAAGCCCATCTTCAGTTTGCTCTGTCTACGAATTGGTCAGAAATGCTTAGTGAACCTAACTAAGCATGGCGCTTCGAACATCTCAGGGAGCCCTGGTGGCACTGTGAGATAAGCAGGGGTGGAGGTACAAACCCAGCACCTCCTCCACTGTAGATAGATGAAGCTCTCTGCTCCTGTGCAGATTCACATTCACAGAAACCCAAGGGAGCAATTCTATGTTTTATAAGATCCCCGTGAGTGGGAATCAGCTCGATGGTAGTGGGTTTAGAACATCTCAGTAAATGACCGTAGATCCATGTTTATGTGTTTGTTTGTTTCCCCTTCTCATTCCAGAAAGTGAAATTCGTTATTCTACCTGGAAAAAGGCCGTGATGAAGTCAATGGGTTGGGCTACGACTCAGTCTTCGGAAAGTGGTAAAGCTGCTGCTTGTTTGTTTTTGTCACTTTTTCTTAATAAGACACGTTGTTTATTTATTTCAATATCTGTCCATGCACACTAAGCAAGGGTTAGCAGTTGGCTGCTCTGAAGAAGAGTATTACCTATATCCGGAGTTTCTTACATTTCGAAAGCGCTTTAAAATTCTCAACTTGAAATGTAAATGATCGGGATGATAGAACTATGTTAACTGCCACATCTTTCCTTATCAGTTTATTCTTGGTTCTTTACTTGATGATTTTCCCAAAGTAAAATTACTTCTGGTCTGGTATCTTAATGGGGAAAAAATTCAACTAGATTCCTTTGTTTGTTTTAATGCCTTACCCTACCTTTTTGGGGGGCTGTCTTCGTGATGTGAATCGTCAGAATTAACTCAATGGCAGTGAGTTTCTTGGTTTGGTTTAGTACACATTGCTGAGAGAACTGTAAAGGACAAGGGTCCTCGTTTCTAGTAAACCATTAATTAATGGCTTATGACAAGTTGAGCTACAGCATTACTTTGACTAGTTGTTGTTTTTTTAAATGACACAGACCTCTCTCCCTTCACCCCATTTTCTCTCCCACACACAGCAGTTCTCCATACTAGCAGCAAGGATCTAAATTTAATTGCAAAGTTTCCATAAAACCAATTAATCTTTTCCCTTGACTTTACAAGGAAAAAAATTCTGCCAAAAAAGCGATGAAATGGCTGCCATCAGTTTATTATAGATGGGTACACAGGGGATCTTTAACTCACTAGTTATCAATGAAATCCATTTACCTAATAGTTCTATTTTCTCAACTCTTAGATTCGACTTTTGAATAAACTTCATAATGAATATTAATTGCTCTAGAGATATTGTTTTTAGATTTAAGCAAGGATGTATGCGTATATTTCATATACATGTGTGGATATATATGAATACAAGGGGTACCCCCCCAAAAAAAACAGAATTGTGCTGGGCAGAGTGGAGCTTTTGTAGTACACACTTTTTCCAGCTAGGCGAGCATCAATCAATTTGTTCCGAGTTAGTGCACACAGTGGTGTTGCCTGGGAAGGATCTCTCTGGTCACAGGGAATTTTTTCATAAAAGCACTTTTGTTTGACCCTCTTTTTTTATGATGGCCAATTTAAGAGAACAGTGTGCGGCTGTGAAATTTGTTTCTGCTTGGGAATAATGCCACAGAAACTGTTGTGATGTTGAACACAGCTTGCAAGGACAGTGCTATGGGAAAAACTCAGGTGTACGAGTGGTTTTCTCGGTTCAGAAAAGGTAAAATGTCGATTAGTGACAAACCCGTTCTGGACATCCGTCAACTTCCCAAAAGGACAAAAATAGCAACTCAAAGTGCATTTGGAGTTCATTCTACCAGGTCAGACCGTTAATGAAGCTTTCTGTTTGGAGGTGCTGAAAAGATTGCGTTAAAAGTGTGTGACAAAGAAGGCCTGATTTGTTGCAGACAGGGGACTGGTTTTGCCACCACGACAATACACCTGCTCACACAGCCATCTCAGTGCACCAGTTTTTGACCAAAAAAAGCATGCCACTCTTGCCCCACGCACCTTACTCACCTGACCTCATGCCTTGTGACTTCTTTTTGTTTCCGCAAATGCAGAGGGACTTGAAAGGACAGTGATTCAATGTTATAGAAGAGGTGAAGAAAAAAAAACGAGGGAGGTGCTGTCAACCATCCAAATGGATGAGTTTGAAAAATGTTTCCAAGAATGGAATTGCAGATTTGACAAATGTGTTAAGTGTAATGGAGAGTACTTTGAAGGGTATAAGGTAGTTTTATTTTTTTTAAATTACATAGCTTTGAAACAAAATACTGGTTTTTTTTGGGGGGGTACCCCTCATCTATAGTGTGTATGTGTGTGCGTGTGTGTGTAAAATCATTCAGAGAAAGGATTCTGAGAGAATTTAGGTTAGAAATCATCAAAACAGCCCTATTCTCAGGTAATTCCTTAAGTGCCATTGTCAGATTCAGTGATTCTGTCTTTACATTTGCAGTGGTTTCGATTGTCAGGTGCATTTTTTTTACAAGCCAAATTCTATGGAAAAAGAAAAGAAATATAGTTTAACAAAAAATAATGTTCAAAGTTCATTTTCAGGAGACTAATGTAACTCTTTTCTGATGGCCAAAGGGCCAACAAATTGAACTTCGGGGCATTTGAACTGCTCATTTGAGCAAGAGTAAAGAAAGCTAAAATCACAGCCTCCCAAAAAAGTTCTCTATGGGCTCTTTTTGGCTTTGTCTGGGGGAAGCTTATGTTGGTGCATATGCATCATGTTCTTGGCTACCTATGGCATGCTCTCTGTATTGTTTGTTAACGATCATAAATCTTTGATACTGATTATAATAATTATTTAAAATAATAACTCTGCTAGCTTTTATGAATATACTATGTAACCTATTTTGTTTTGCCATCATGTGATTCTTAACACAAATATTGTAATTATGTGTCTCTCTTTTGGTTTGCTTTGACTGGAATTCCCTTCTGCTTGGATGACCACAGGTGACCCTAGTATCTTCTGTAGTCTACCCTTGGGCTTTTTTATAGTGAGTAGCATGGTAATGTTAATCGGAGCAAGGTACATCTCAGGTTAGTTACTCTTTAAATCAGACAATTTTATTGGTTAGCATTAATGTATTTGTGTATAACTCAGCAGAAAAGTTTGCAGTGCTTTTTCTTCTATGCTTAGGAATCTGGAAAATCAATTAAAGGTCTAATTAGTGAGGCCTTTAGGCAGCCTGAATTAAGAACTGTGACTGTGAATCTGGTTTTTCTTTTAAGTGGGTGATTTCTTTGAGGCGCTACATTCTGCTGCCAGCTGTAGCCATGAGCAAAAGCTCAAGTGCTAACAGGAAAGCACTTTCTCCACGACTGAGGAGAGGTAACAAATCTGAATGTTGACATTAGGTCAAGTGACTTTCCAATGTCCACAAATTGTTCTTCAGACTGCTGAAAATGTGCTAAGCCAGTCTTAGTATTTCAATTCGGGTAAGCATTTTGGATGTTCCTGTAAACTTCCTCAAATAGGGCCGATTTATACCCTCATTTATTTTAGTTAAAAGAATCGATTTTTTAAGAAAAGAATAGATTTTGTGGCCTGGCGCTTTTAAAATGAGTTCTTAGGTAAATTGGAGTTGAAATGAATTTAATTTTTGCATATTAAAGTCTTCTGAAAATATTGTTATGCCAGTAAAATTGTTCAGCATGGCATCAACTACATTGCATCACCAATGTCTTACTTTAAATATGATAATCATTTCTGAAAGCTGTTCCTAATGATAGCTCAATTTTTATTCAAATTAATCGCCTAAACGGAAATGATTAATTTCTTGTACCATATGTTTGTAAGAAAGTGACACTTTTTCCCTTTTTTAATCTTCATGACTAGGGAAAGTTAAATGATCTCTCCTAATTAATTATATGATGACCTGGGTTTAAAATGTAAAACTTAAACATTCTTGATGCAGGAGGGAACATCTGTTTATAGAAATAAGTCAAGAATTAATTCTGCTTCGCTTCAGTTTGGCACAATATATAAATATGGAATGAAGGTAATTTACATCAGCAGAACATTAGTTTCTATTTTAATGATTGAGAAACTTAGGATTATTTGCTTGAGAGTGTAAAATTAGATTATATCACCTTTGTCCTTATTCTTCATTTTCAAGCCTATTCAGGGTAAATCTGTTCAAATTGGCCTCCAAAATAACAAGATCTTACATTGGTAGCTGTGCTTTGCACCGTACAGAGGTGCAGAACTGACCACCAACCGATAAGAGAATTAAGAGTTCTCTTTCTACTTCTTGAAAATGTTTGGTAAAAGAGTCTATATTGCCAGAAAAGCTGTGACTTAATGAATAAAGCAATGTATATGCTGTTTTAGAAAAAGTTCCTATCTTGTTTTTGCTTGTTTGTTTTTTTAATTAGCCTGAATATTCTAAGCTACATAATGATGGTCTGGAAAAGGGGGTGGCAGAGACACAGCGGTTGGATTTTTGCATTGATCCCCCCGCCCACGCACCTTTTGGGGGTTTAATACTATGAAAGCAGAGAAGGCCTAGGCTTTATAAAAATGGACCCATGTATCATCTCTCGAAGCTAACAGATACATTAAATGTCCAAATTCCTGGGCTTCCACAATGGCCTGTTCACATTTTTATGTGTACTTTGGTGGCATATGCTGAGATTTAAGAACAGTGGGAACTGTTTGCTTTGGTAAACAGTTAGCAACAGTGATCATATTTGCTCGGTTAGGAATTGGCCCAGTTATATTCGTTGTATTTTAATTGTGAGGCATGATTTAGAATTCCTAGTTCAATAAATGACTGTATAGTCTACGTTGATTCGGCTCCTGACTTGCATATATGTGTTATTGACATGTCTGATTTTTGTCCCCCGTTGTAGGTAGTCTGTAAATAATTCCAGCAACTCATGGATTCCCAAGATGGAGCTTTTTACGTAATGAGAGGACACCACAATTTTGTCTGTTCATGTGATGACACTATTCATAGAATTTGCTCTTATTTATAAGCCACTTGCTGCATGACCCTCCAAGTAGCCCTGTGGCTCGAAATAAAGGAAATGCAGCACAAAGAATGCTTACGGAAGCATCTGGTGTTTTTTTGGTTTTTTAAACTCAACAGTGAAGGTTGGGCTGGCCACTTTGGGGACTGATCCCCACCCTCTTTTGCCGTAATACTCTGCTCTCATTCTCTGTAATATCTAAGAAGAATCCATATCCTGCTCATGGCACATTTCCTCAAACATATTCAACCGCCGATGGAGGAGGAGATGATTCTTTGCACTGTCCACACCGGAATAAAAGGGTATTACCGACCTGCTAAACTTGAGGGCCTTTAAAACCCAGTTCCTCACAGTTCTCTTTCCTACACATCAGGGGAGAGCGCGCCATCTCCACAGGGTGTCTAATCAAAACTTCTACTAAGCTTTTGACATGGAAATGTGGCACCCTGGTAGCTTAGATAGTTTACTGAAAATCATTTGCCTAAACTGAAATTCTTCAGATATTTTACACAATCAGGTTCAATAATTACATGCGCTGAGCCGCTGACTGGTTCTTACTGGGAATGATACGGTTTTCCTCCTTCCTTCTTTCCATCCCTCTCTTGTATTTTTTACTTTGTATGTGTAGCATACATTTTCTATCATGAGGGAAGCCCATTTCATAAATTAAGAGCACATTGCATTCAGGAGCTTACAACAGGGCTGGTCTTAAGTGGACCAGTATGTATATAAATATTTGTTGGGACACAGCTGTATACATTTTTTCCCCTAATGGTTATGCATATTATTTACTGGAAACTTTGCTAAAGAGGCAACATTTACATTGTAAGTAGATGTTCTATGTCAATAAAAGAAAATATACTTTTTTATGAATTCAATTATATATCGTTTACCTTTATATTTACTTGTCTTACTTGGATATATACTGAAGGAAAAATACCTGCAGTAAACATTGTTTTCAAATACAAGCTCTGGTCCAAATAAAGTAGTTATATCCCCCTCCACAGTTATATCCCCCACCTCTTGACTCAATTGAGAAATTTGGATTCTTTGGGAGGGGGTGAGAATATAGCAAAAGGATTTTTTTTAAACCCTATATTTAAAACAACTTATTTAAGAATAAAACCAAGATTCTCTTTCCTTCGCTGGTAAGAAATCGTATTCTCTCTTTGGAGTGACACAGAATTGCCTTCTCCTCATGTCTCCTCACAACTGAGAAAGCTTCACCATTGGAAATGCCTTCAAATGAAGCCGCTTTCCCCCGATATGCAGTGTTGCGTTATGGAAGTCACCCAGTCCCATGGACCGCCCATGTGTAAACTAACTTAAAGTTAAGAAAAGAGTGCCTCCGCCTTATTTCTTTACTCATTGAGGAATATGGGAAAATGCAAAGGCTTTTGGCTTTCTTTGGAATTCATGGTAGCTTGTATTTGCAATTCTGATTATGCTGTTGATAAATTATCCAGCTTCCTGAGTTTGTTTCTTTTTTAATGCAATTGATACAGAAATAACACATATTATTTGAAAGTTACCCTAAAATGATTACTTAGTGGTAGGGTACTTTTTAATATACTCACCTTTCTACAAAAGTGGTTAAGTTCATTGTAAATAACAGTGAAAAATCCCTATGCAAATGATTTTAGGATCATATTTTTTTATGAATTGTATGATTTGTAAATTATGTTTGAAATTGTATGTGTTCGATTGGTCCTGCCCTGTTACTTGCACTTCTCATTGCCAGACTAGTGCCTAGTTCACAATGACGTTCAGAAAACTGTCTCAGGAAATGTGAAACCCAGCTGTTAGCACTTGAGGAGGCACCTTCGGAAGAATCGGCCAACCACGGAGGAAGTAGCTTCTGGGAATGACAGGCACCTTCATCATTCGATTCAAAGAGACTATTGTTCCGTCTCAGCATTTTCAAGAAATACCTTGGTGAGGTCATTAGTGTCTCACATGATTAGCCATGACCTTTTAGTAGAGAGACACTAGTTTCTCTCTACTCCCTAGCCCACATCCAATCATTTCTTCTCCAGCTAATCAATAAAAGAACTAATGCATCTTTGCTTCTGTAATGCTGTCTCAGAATTCTTTAGTGTGTTCGTATAAAGTGCCCAAAGTGCAGTTTCTGGAATGGGTGTGGGTGTTTTAGATCATGTGGCAATGATCAATCAGCTCTTTTGCAAACAAAAACAAAAACCCCACCAAATAAAAGTTTCCAGAACTAAAAACTAACAGCATTGGCCATTGAGTAGATAGTATTTATCTAATAGTAACTACAAGTACAGGATTTTAAAAATATGTTTTAATAGGCTGTTTAATGATATTTGAATAATGCCCTTGGGCTGATACTTTGTTCCTTCAATCTAGCAACTTTTTAAAATGTCACATAATAAACAATCAGTAAGAAACTGGCCTTTTAAAAAAAATCAATTTATTGGGGCTCATACAATTCATCACAATACATAGATCAATTGTGTAAAGCGCATCAATACATTTGTTGCCCTCATTATTCCCAAAATTCACTTTCCTCTTGGGTTCCCGGAATCAGCTCATTTTCCTTTTTTCCCCTCCCCCCATGAACCCTTGATAATTTATAAATTATTATTATATCTTATATTACACTGCCCAGAGTCTCCCTTCACCCACCCCTCTGCTGCCCATCCCCCAGAGAGGAGGTTATATGTAGCTCCCTGTGATCAATTCCCCCTTTCTACACCCCCCTTCCCTCCTGGTATCGCCACTGTCACCCCTGGTCCTGAGGGGTTCATCTGTCCTAGATTCCCTGCGTTTCCAATTAACCAATGTATTTTGTCTCTACTTTTTAGGTATATGTCATAATTCTAGTGTTACAAATAAACATAAGATGTGCCACATACATTTATGTGCAAACAGCACCTCGCCTATATTTCTTGAGATCTCACTGCCATGGGCCTTGATAAAAGTGACTGCTTAAATTAGATTGGGATGCCAATAAAAATATACCTTCTAAAAAAAGAAAACAAAATACACATTCTGTTTTTAAAAAATGAATTAAAAATCATTTTATTGGGGGCTTTTACAGCTCAAATAACAATCCATACATCCATTGTATCCGTTTTTGAAAAGCAGAAGGTGGTTTAAAGCGGTTTCAAGTGGGCGAGTGTCTTTCATCCTGATTTCCCATCTCATCTACGATAAGTAGCCCTATCCAATAGCTTATTATTTGCGAGAATGGCAATAATTTGTTTTAAAAGGCAACTGCCAGTCTTTGTAGGTTTTCCTGTTTACTATTAAACTGAAATAACCTATATTCTCAATAAAATTGATTTTATTGATCTTGTTGGTTGGTTGTTATTGTATGATTAAATTGCAATTAGATTTCATAAATGCAACCATTTCAATGATAACCAAAGCACCCATCAAGGGGACTGGTTAACGTGTGATAGAGCTACACAATAGTGTAGCTTTTACAAAAGAAGGAGAACACTGTCTACTCACACGAAAACATCTCCAAATAAGTGTATTTGTGTAGCGGGGGAAGCAAACGTTTTCGCCTCGTTCTGGAAAGATCAGTACCAGTTCCCATAAAGTCCACTCTTGACACCCACAGAAACTACGATCACAGGCATGTTCGAATCCATCATTGTGGCTGCTGGACCAATCTCACCTCCGGCTCTCCGTCCGTGTCCCCAAATATGATTCCCCTACTAATGATGTGTCTAAAGTAAGCGAGTCAGGCAATGTTGTGATTCCTAGAGTTTTCACTGGCGAATTTTTGGAGGTAGATTACCAGATTTTCCTTTCTTCCCCTTGAAATCTGACCATCATCAGTGATCCGTGCTGGGATTTGAAATCCCGGTGGCAAAGCATCCGGTGACACAAAACCCACCACAGTTCAATAGATGAACAGGTGGTGGATGTTCATTCTGAGCATGTACAAGAGCCCAAGTGGTGTACTGGATCACTCGCTGGACTGCTGCTATCCACAAGGTCAGAAGTTCAAAGGCACCAGCTGCTCCACAGGAAAAAGATGAATTGACTCTCCTCTGTCTTATTAGGATCTCTAAGTCGGAATGGACTCCGTTTGGCAGAGCTTTGTTTTGGTTGTGGGCAATGACATCTGTGAGAATTGGACCGCTGTGTCGTTCCAGGTCTCGCATGCTTTCCACTTTTTTTAATTTGTTTTCCACCTTTGACAGGGTGTTGTCTTACCACTTTTCTATCACTTGCTTTAGTAGAAAGTATTTTTTGAATTCTCCTCTGCTAAGTTTCTTCCAAACACAGGTTCTGGCTTCCATAGGCTTTACTGTATAATATTGAGCCACGTCAAAGTAGTAACTGTAAAATGGAAAGATTGGAACTTGAATTTCAGAGGTCATTGTGCATGAATGGTCATAGAATTATTCAAAGTAGTCAAAAAGGGGAAGCCACCCCCAAATCCATCAACAGATAAAATGCATTATACAAAATGTGCTCTATTCTCACACTGGAATATAAGCCTTACAAAGGAATAAAAGTGTTGATACATGTTATGGCATGGACAGGAGCCCAGGTGGCATAGTGGTTTCCCAGATCCACAAGGTCAGCAGTTCGAAACCACCAGCCACTCCTTTGGAGAAAGACGGGGCAGTCTACTCTCTTTTTAAATTTTCTTTTCTTGGGGGCTCTTACAGCTCTTATCACAATCCATACATATATCCATTGTGTCAAACACATCTGTACATAAGTTGTCATCATCTTTTTCAAAACATTTTCTTTCTACTTGAGCCCCTGGCGTCAGCTTCTCATTTCCCCCCTCCCTCTCCTTTGCCCCCTTGATGATTTATAAGTTTTTCTCTTTTTTTCATGTCTTACACTGACTGCTCATTTCACCCACTTTTCTGCTGTCTGTCCCCTGGGACATTCTACTCTTGTAAAGAGTTAAAGTCTCTGAAACTCACAGGGGCAGGTCTCTCCTGAGCTACCCGGTGGCTGTGAGTCCGCATCGACTTAATGGCAGTGAGTTTTGAGTTGATGGCATACTAAGTAAACGGAGCCACAAAAGGCCACAGATTGGGTGACCCCACTTACGTGATTTGTTCAGGGAGCCAAGGTCATGGAAACAAAAAGATCGCTGAGATCTTGGGGAAAGGGGTCGTCCCAACGACTACTTTGAGGTATGGGGTTTCTTTGTGAGGTGGCCAAGATGTTCAGGAATCAGTTATGCTGATGGCACCGGCTTGTGCACATACTGGAAACCACTACTTTGAACCCAGAAGAATGGATTTTATGATGTGTGATATAAATCTCAATTAAAAAGGGTAATTAATTCAGAGGTCACAAACTAGGGACCTATTGACCAAATTAAGACGGCAGACATCTTTAAAATTAAAAGGAAGAAAGGTTGTGTGTGTGTGTGTGTGTGTGTGTGTGTGTAACTTTTTTAATGTTCATTTTGGAATGCAAATGCCAAGTCCTGGAAATCATGTGAGTTTGTGATCCTTGAAATCAGCCCTCTGAAGAAAATTGCACTGACTCCTTGAAAACTGAAGGTGAATCAGTTTAACTCCTTTGTATGCCATGGTCACTAACTTTTCTCAAGGGTTTACTCTTGAAAATAAGGGAAAAAATTTTTAGTTGTGAATGCATAAAAGATTACGAGAAAACACAAGTGTTGCCTTTCCATTCACCTTGCCAGGGGTGTTCACGGTCTGCCAGGTCAAATAGACCCATATTAAATCGTGCAGATCTTTCCCCCCAAAGACTAGGCACATGAGGAATTGATCATTTGAAATTATGAAACCAAAAATATGACCATAATTATCAGTTACTTGACTTTCCCCTAAGTGTGGGCCCTTTTAGCAATGCTGTAGTTTAATTTAATCTGTTCATCCTCCTCCCCAACCTCAACATAGGCCTCAGCCACATCGCCTCTTTCATGACCACAAAGCTTATAGGAGGAAGCAATAGGTTGGTTTGTAATCTATAGTTTCAATGACTTGGAAAGCGAACTCAAATGACAGCGGAAGTTTACAGAAGCGAGCATCAGTCTGACATTTGACCATGTATCTGCATTTGATTTCAACTCCTCTATTAGAGTCTCCTCCGCGTTCCACCCCTACTTCTGCCTTGTGATTCCTGCTCCCAGACCTCCTGTTCTAGCCCTCTAAAGTTCATCTTTGGGTAAAGGCTGCCATTTTGATCTTAAATGGCTGATGATTCTAAAATTGAGTGAGTTTATTTCCAGATCTGAAGAATTGCTAAGGGTCATAGTCTTGGGGGGTGCCCCCACCCAGCTCTAGCAAACCTGTCAGCCTGATCTCTTATGATTTGGGTTCTCTTTCATTTGTCCCTCCCACTCTATCTATTGGGATCCTTTCCAAAGCAGTGGGTAGTAGGAGCCGACTGGTTCTTCCCATCTCTGGGTTCCGGAGTCTGTATGGGCACATTGGACTCATTGCTTCCATATGTCTTACTATTTTCATTGCTCGTCTTTCCTGTGGAGGGGGAGAGATCTTAGGTGGCTGGCTGCTCACAAGCGTTTATGACCCTAGTCACGACTCACCAGAGTAGGATGTGGAACATCGTCTTTGTCAATTCTGTGGTGCCGATTGTTATTAGAGACTTTTTTTTAAGTGCATATTTGCAAATTCACACTCTACATCACTTCTTTTTCACCATTCCTGGAAGGTTTCTTGAGTGTGTGTGTTTGTGATGTGTTTTAAGAGCCTTCCTACCCATTTCATTTTATGTTTGAAAAAGTGTTACCAAAAAAAGAAAAAGAAAAAGTGTTACCTATAATCCCCTCCCTGGGGGGGATGAACAATAGAAAAGTGGGTGAAGGGAGACATCGGTCAGTGTAAGAAATGAAAAAATAATAATTTATAAATTGTCAAGGGTTCATGAGGGAGGGAGGGGGGACAATGAGGAGCTGATACCAAGGTCTCAAGTAGAAATAAAATGTTTTGAGAATGATGATGGCAACAAATGTACAAATGTGCTTGACCCATGGATGGATGGATGGATTGTGATAAGAGTTGTATGAGCTCCCAATAAAATGATTAAAATAAATAAATTAAAGGAATCAAGTTCAGAGGGGAAAGAATAAAAATGT